ATAGAAAGAGACCAAAGGACGACGAAGGAGAAGACGACGACGACGACGAAAAAAAACACAAAAGTTGTAGGTGTTGCTACGGTTATTGCTCCGCGCCGGCCGAAAGAGAAAACGCGAAAATGCGTTTTCTTGCGCGCGCGCGCGACAACCCGCGCGTCTTCCTTGGTGCACACGCGAGCGCCCGCACGGGCACCAATTGTGCGATACTAATCTCTCGATTGCGTTCGCGACTTTTCAATCGGCTTTCAATTATGCGATCATTCCGGCGATCGGCGATTAGAATTGCGCTCATTGCGCGCAACAATCCGCCCGTGCGCGTTTGTTCCGCGAACCGCTGCGCGGCGCGATTTAAATGTCACCGGCATTTTTCTTCTTCCTCTTTCGTCACTCCGCGCGCGCGCTGTGCACCGCGCGATATGCTAATCGATGTCGAGGCGCGTTGATTTGTTGAAAATGATTTGTTTTATCTTTATCGCCGCACCGCGAAACATGCGACGCATCAGCTGTCCGGGCGCAAAAAGATGCGCGCGATGCCGATAACGGTCGATGGTAATCTTAATTGCGGGCGTGTTTGCGTATTGTTGCGATGTCGCATCGTCAAATGGGCGTCATTTGAATGCAGAGCGGCCGGTCGTTAGGACGCGCCGGAATGGCCTGTGTGGGCATTGCAGTAAAATTTGCATCGCGTCGCAACACGGCGCGAGATTTCAATTTTCGTCCATCAGAAGAGTGTCGCTGGCTGTCGTCGCTGGTTGCGCTCGCGCGCGCGCGAGGAGAGTGGTGTTAGGCAAGCGATGAATTAGAATTAGATCCGGAACGTTCGCGCGGGGCGGCGGCCGTGGTGTGCCGGACGAAAAGAGTTCCCTTGGCACAATTAGAAGGCTGCTGCAGTGCTCGCAGCGAGCGGATCGAACGCATCGACCGGAGAGCAAGCCGCTGCGCGCCGCGCGCGGGTTTCGAAGATGTGGTAAAAATGCCCAAGGCGCACGAAACGGTAGTTTCGGAATCTTTTTTTTTTTCTGCGCGCCCGAATTCAACTCATGCGGAAATTCGCATTACACAACTTTACGCAACCATTTCAATCGCATCCTGTCTGTGAGCTACTTGTCGCAGTGCTACCAAAACAACCAAAATTCCCTAGCTAGTGGAACAAAGCGGCAGAGAGTGCGAATGGCAAATAGCGTGCGGCGGTCGGCGTCGCGCGATCGCATTGCGTTTCGAATAGATTGTAGATCTATTAGAAGAACGGCCAGCGAGAGAACCACACCCAATTGTTGTGCGGCCGATTCTCAGCTCAGCGAGCGACTCGTCGACCTACAATACGACATGCCAACACTAGTTTTTTTTTCTTCTTCTTCTTCTTCATCGTCGGCCGCTGCTGCTGCCGCTGCCGACCATCAACTACTTTTGCACAATAACGCCTCGCTCCTAGTTAAATATCACGTTTAATGCGCATTGTCTCATCGTCGAAACGGCGTCGATTTACGATCTGCGAGTGGTATGAAAATGCGCGCATATTCACGACGAATGATTGATATTGACATAGTTATGACGTGCATTGCACGGAAAACAACGACGCGAGAATAATTGCGCACGTTTTCGGGGCGACATGACCGAAGTTGGGCACTTCCTTGATGACTTGGCTTTCTCTGCGCGCATCTACAATAAACGGGAGCCGGGGCGGGCGAAAAACCGTTCGCGATTGGAAACAATTAACGCTACCAGTCGCATTGTTTCGGCCGCGGCCGCGCAGCGGGCAACAAACCGCGAGTCCGTGGTCGTTACGGATCGAACGACTTCATAAATCGATCGCATGCATATCGCGGCGGTAAAAGCGGTTTGCGCGACTCCGGCGACTACTCTCTTGTTTTGCTTAGACGCGCGGTGAGTGCGAGCGGGGGCCGGCCGATTCGCCGTCGCCCGCGGCCAGGGCGTAGTCCGCTCGCCCGCTGCGGCTGACGATCGGCGACGGCCGCGGCGACGACGACGACGACGGCGTTCACCTCGCTTTCCTCCGGAGAAGAAATCGCCGGTTACGTCGGCGACGCGCCGCGCCACAGCGTCGTCCAGCTCGCGGTGGCCGGCCGTCCCTTCACTTCCATTCTTCGGCTTCGCGGCCGACAATTGTTTCGCGACGCGCTGCGGCAACAAAAGCGAAATTAATAAGCGCCGCGCGCGCGCGCGCTATCGGGGCCCGCCATCGGTCATTGCGCAATGCCATCGGCCTGGGGAGCGCGCATAAGGATATGCCGTCTTTTGCATAACGCGGGAAAGCAGCGTGGAAAATCGGCCTAAATGTTATCTATTGTTTTTGCTAATGTGGCGATCGATTTGTGTTGCATATGCATATCGCTGCGCAACAATCGACGCGCAGCGAAACATTTTTCTGATTCATCACAACACAACACACAACACACACAAAAAAAAAACACGCAATTTTCTCATAAAACCAGCTAATAAAAGTGTTTTTACAAACAGCATCGTGAGATTATTCGCTTTGGCGATGAGTCAAAACATCAGCGCATAGATCTCATAATCCGCAATGTCCTCATATAAATTACAATGAAAAGCAATCAATTCAACAATCGATGAAACCAAATTCCAACACAAATCCAAATACGCAATCCGATTGGAAAACGCGCGCGCGTTGTGTGTTTTTTTTTGCGATCAAAGTATCGACAAAGTAGCAGCGTTTACTCAGCACGCGTGCGTGGCGCACAGATTCGAGGCATATCTTGCGTCCACCTTTGATAGGCGATGAATATAGTTATGGTAATACCAAACAGCGAAATACGGTGAATCGATTTGTCCTTGCAATCCGTAACGAATCGTTTCCATGTGCGAGGAACGCCGTGCAATGAAAAAAAAATAATGTAAAAATCGATTTACATACGTGATATTATTGTCTACTTGATATTTATATATCTCAACGTGTTGGACAATATCCGCACATAATATATGTAACACTCTAATAATATTTGGCAATGTATAAACACGTTTTTTAAAAGTTATTTAAAAAAATTAATTTTTTGCGTTTTTCTGCGTTTTTTGTGCGTGATTTTTCCTAATCGCGAGATTTTTGAAATTGGGAAAAGTGCGTGAAAGCTATAACGTATTAGAAGCACGCACACGACGTCCGGCGATGGACGGGCCACGACAAGATAGTTAACGACGTCGCTTAATGAGTGCGCATGTCCCGCATACACTCGTATCGAAATCCAGTAGCGCATAATTGCCATTCGTCGGCGCTTTACTGCCCGCAACGCAGCGAAATCAATTCGGCGCTTTGGATGAGATGTAAATGTGGCAGTGTAGGCAACCAAGTATACAATTACAGCCGGGGGTTCACGCGTTTGGTTTCTCTCCGCGCGCGCGCGGCAAAAACATCCTTCTCCGGTTATGAGTTATGACCAACATGAATATGCATATCGAGCGCCGCGTGGTTATTAAACATGGGCGGTTGTCCGCCAGTAATAAATTAACGAAAATCGAAAGTCACTTTAAATTGGAGCGAAATTGTGGCGAGATTCTAGCGGTTCTTTCACTCGACTCCGCATCGCATGTCGCTGCCGCTTGTTGTTTTCTTGGACAAATGCAAATTCCGTTCATTTTATGCTTATTATATATGCCGCCACATCATCAGTGATTTTAATTCTATCAGTTTTACTCTCGGCGAGATTCACTTGTTTTCTTCATCTAATTACAGAACGGTTTCAATTATACATAATAATGTGATAAAGCGCGAGATAAGCGTGTGTCAATTGGCAGATAGAAAGTTATGATTTATGATATCGAAGGTACTTAACAACCACATTGGTTAATTGCTGTTTGCATTAAGTGCGTGCGATTTAGCAAGAGGATGAAGAGGAGGACACCGCGTAGACAATGCGTATTAAATGTGATATTTAACTAGGAGCGAGGCGTTATTGTGCAAAAGTAGTTGATGGTCGGCAGCGGCAGCAGCGGCCGACGATGAAGAAGAAGAAGAAGAAAAAAAACTAGTGTTGGCATGTCGTATTGTAGGTCGACGAGTCGCTCGCTGAGCTGAGAATCGGCCGCACAACAATTGGTGTGGTTCTCTCGCTGGCCGTTCTTCTAATAGATCTACAATCTATTCGAAACGCAATGCGATCGCGCAACGCCGACCGCCGCATGCTATTTACCATTTGCAATCGGACGCCTCTTTGTTCCACTTGGATCCGTCTAGGGAGACAGTTTTGGCAGTTGGTAGCACTTGTTTGAGTAGTCGAAACATCGAATGCGTTACATTACAATCGATTTTCGGTGCTGGCGCGATGTGATGTGATGCGATTCGATCGATTGATTCTCTTCGCTCTATCCCACGGCGATCGGCAATCGGCAGCAGCCTTCTAATTGTGCCAAGGGAACTCTTCGTCCGGCACACCACGGCCGCCGCCCCGCGCAAACGTTCCGGATCTAATTTTAATTCATTGCTTGCCTAACTTTGCAAACGGCAACGACACTTGCGGTTAGACGCGCGTCATAAATGAAAATTTTAGTTTTTAGGTGAATTTTTTGCAGTTTTCTTCATTATCCTGTCAACAAAATCAACAAAAATTAAGTAAAAACGGTTTAAAATGTATTTTAGTACAAATTACGATAAATAACGTTAATATTTAGTAATATTTAAAGATAAACCATTAAAATATCTTTAATTTAAGAAAAGATTTACTTCAATCTTAATTTCGCGTTAGTATTAATCAAATTTCTACTTATACGTCCATCTTTTAGCATTTCTTAATTTTGTTTCAAAACCAAACGATAGAAATTTGTAATTTCTCATTATGTTTCTCTTATTTTTTTCTAGATGGCGCCAAACGTAAGAAACTTCACAAAATATCGCGCGTCCTGCTCACAACTCACTCAACACCAAACACAGTCAATCAGTAAGTTTTTCTACCGCTAGATGGCGCTGCATGTCCGTGACTCCTGCTGTTTACGCCTGCCATGCTTTGTTTTGCAGTGTGGTGCGCCGCAGAAGTCAGATGACACACACCAACGCAGCCGAACGCAAAAAGTAAATTAGCGTCGTCGCGCGGCGCGGCGCGCATTGTTTTCGCAATTAGCCGTCGGTCGCATCGCTCTGCGGTTAAACGCGCGCGCGGTCGCCGCATAAATATGTTGCTGCTGGATTCGCAGCCGACTTTTATCACAATCACGCGTTCCCTTGTGCACCAGTGCAGCGCAGCCGCAGGTTATGTGCCGTTGATCGCGTCGAAATCGTGCGCGAAAATGCCCGATCAGTGATAACATTGATAACAACGTGCGCGCGGGATAAACAATGCTGAAGATACAAATGCTGGAGCAGCTCGTCACCAGCGAGGAGGACGGCGGCGGCGGCGGCGGCAACGACGAACCTGAACTACGAAGGTAAACGACATTAATTTTGTTATTGTTTTTGTTTTTTTGTAATTTTTGCGTTATCGTTATCATACCGCCGTGGAGCTGGCGGTGCATGCATGATTATAGAGTGCATTCTGCACGTGCGTTGCGCTGAAAACGGTTCAACAGTTAGCTCTTTATGTGCTGTTAGTTTACAAGTTTGACCCACATTCCGATTGCGAGAGTTCTTCGCTTTTAACATTCATTCGCACTCGACGCACTGACAGCGAGACACAGCGTTTTCTATTGTCGTCGGCACGGACTTCTTCATCATCATCATCAGTCTGCGCGCGCGTTGCCCAAGTTGAGCTAAACGTGCGCGGCGTCGAATTAAAACGCTTACAAACATCTCGGCGCGCAAAACAGTTGTTCTTCGGGCCGAAAACGCGTGTGAATTTTTTTTTCGTCGACGGCCAAGTTTTCGGTTTCGTTCCCATGAATTCGTGTTTTATTACGTTGTGTTTTTTTGTAGACGAAATGTTACTCAACCGATAACTTCGATTTCGTTGTGTAAATATTAGCATAGCTGTGATTTTCCGCGGTCGACGCTGCTTCCTGTCGCGACCATCGCTTTCCTTCGGTCTTCGGAATTTTAATTAGCGGTTTGGCGATTTCGTTTCCAGCGCGCAATTCGCGCTTCCTTCCCCGGGCTGACGCGTTTCATTATTCATTTCCTCGTCGTGTGGGTCGCGGCGACAATGCGCGATAAAAACCGCACGCCAATCTATGAATTTTAATGCGCGCATTATATAAAAGTGTTACGGGCGCAGCGCACGCCCGCGACACGCGACCGTTACACTTTGCTCGCACGTCCGGTTTTCACCCCTTTTGCGCTTCTTCGGCGCGCTTCCTCTAATCGCGTCTTCTTCGCGATGCATGCTTCGCTTGATGCGTCTAATTGCGGGCGCGTGCTCATGCACCGTGTGCTAATAAGCAATACGGCGTTAATAAGCAAACGGCTCGTTATCGCATGCATCTAAAACGCAATGTTATAGTCGAGCGTCGATTACAAGCGCAGATAACGAAATCAACGCGCGTGTTGTTTGTGTTGCCTACGTTCAACCGGCATACGGCGCGTTATTCCACCAGTACTGCATTTTATTCACCGACAGAAATTCTATGCGGCGCGCACACGCAACCCACGCAACTTCAATCATAAATCAAGGTCATGGATACAATGCCAACTTTTCCCAATTTTCCGCGCTCAATTTTTATCGCGTTTCGGGGCACTATTTTCGATTATACGAGTTTCCAAACGTGAATATTTTCATAAATCGTGTTTCGCACTCGGTGAGGCATCGAAAGGAAACAGGACGTAACGCTTTTGATCCCGACGTGCGCCCAAGGTCCGCATTCTAATTGTTCCGGTCACTCTATTCCTCCTCCTCGCGTCTATAATTAAAACGTAAGCGAAGCCAGATAATGACACGTTAAATTCTGTGATTTTCACGTGCGTGTGTGTGTGTATTTTCTTTAATAAAAATGATAGCGCAACAATTACGACCGTTAAAAGGTCGCCGTTTCCGCTACTTTTCGTACAACAATTACATAATAATTAAATAGAGTATAACATATACAAAGTAATAATCTAAGAAACGAGATAGAAGCACTAAACACTGGCGAAGTCGCAGTAGTCAAATGAAGCTATGCGACTGTCTCCAAACGAATTATACTACTGCTACGCGACCAGTTGTTTATACTTCGTCGTTTTAATAATGTAATGTAACTGCTGGTGGTGTGCGGCAGGTCCTTGGCGCAGTCGATAAGTTCATCGATGATGTACTGCGGCAGGTTACGCGTGAGTTTTTCTAGGATTTGTCGTGACGTTGAGTCTTTACTGCAACTTTGCGTGAGAAAGTACCGAAAGGCTTCTTTTAACTTCAGACGTTCCAGAGGGTGTTGTAGCCATTCAGGGAGTCTATCTTGGAAGTCGTCTTGAATGACGGCGATGTATGAGCTGAATTTCGTCGCTAGGTCGAGATCGCAGCCGGCGATTTCGTCTAGCAACCCGACGTAGAAATCTTTTCGATCTGCATCGTTCAAGAATCGTCTTCGGTAGAAATATGAGAAGTTGTTGTGTCTCTGGGACAAACGCGTGTTCTGAAAATTAAAAAAAAAATTATTAGAAATTGTGATTTTTTTTAAATTTTAAAAATAGGGGACTCACCGTGCATGAATGACACATTTTTGGAGTGTATTATTTAATTAATTTTCTAAGTTGTTCTCAGGTTGTATTAAGTTGTATTGAATGAATTGCGCTATGCGCGATTTTGACTTATATAGTGGTCCAGTATCAATAATTTTCAAGTGTTTACAAACTTCGAGTTGTTTGTTTATGGGTTTAGTACACATGCCGAAAATAATCATTGCAATTTCGTAATAACTCTTGCCTAACTTATAATAGAACATGAATAAGCGATAAGCAATCAATTCTCAAAAATTCGATGATTATTTAAGTACATATGGGTGGCATGTGTGCATTTTTGGAAATATGTTAATATGCGATTAATGACTCAAGTAGTTTCCGCATTTTTTCACCGCGGAAAAGCAATTTCCAAGAGGAAATGTTAAGTTTACACGCTTCATTAGTCAGTCTCTTGCTTTTTTCGATGTCCTGGAAGCGGGGCGCAATGTTTTTGCGCGATACAAAAAGCAGAGAAGCGATTTTACCGCATGTAGCACGCAGAGCCGACACCCAACGGTTTTAAGGGCGCGCGCGTGAGTACACCCTCCGAGAGGGCGAGCGACATCATCACTCTCGAAAGGGGTGCTGCCTCGTGTTGCAACTCGTGCGCGCGCCTCTTCATCGCATAAAAATTCCCCAAAATATTTTTATCGCGATGAGCACACGAGGCACTCGAACGCGCAGCATGCGCTTCCACCACCCGATGATGATGACAATTGTCGCGTGTTGGGGCAGGACATGCGTGCCAGCCACGTGAATCCATACGTAGGAGTTTGAAAAATAGACGACACTGCTTACGCCATTGACACCTTTTCAATGCCAATATTAACGCGCTCGGGATGCGTCGATGTTTTATGTTTCTATTATCAATCGAATAAGGGATCAATTGGAGCAATTACACTTCGATTCTAATGATAATCAGGGTTGCATTGGGCTCGGATGTAATTTGGCATGAAACATTTCCATTACCGCTTCTCGGTGCAGTGATACAGCTTATAGCTGATATGCTAAACAGATTAACACACAGCCCTAGAAAAGGTATTGTTGTCAGTCGTTAATCATTTTTATGTCTATTGGGACGCTCGGGATGCTTTGATTTTGCATAATACGTTCACATATATCGCTTTGTAGCCTTTTTTCAACCTGCAGTCTAGTAAATAATATCGAAATATGCAAATCATGCGAGTCTACAAGCGATCACGTCTTGAAGGGCACAAAAGGGTTGCAACTGAACATCGTTATCCAATTTCGTCCGAGTCAGTTATTAGTTACTAGTTGTTTCCTTGCGGGATAGTTTGTTAGTCACAAATGGTAATAACGATGATTATTGAGGAAATTACAAGGGTCGCATCCGAAATTACGCGTATTGATGGCATGTGCGATACGGTGTAATGACAGGCGTGCGTGGCACACGTCCACCCTCTCATATATAGGTCGACACTCCCAGTTTTCATTAGCTCAACACCCAGCTACAATCAAATTAGTGCTTTGATTACGTGTTAAATTTCCCCTTGTTTTTCTTCGGAAATTTGAAGAGAGCACTCCATACATACAATCGTCCTATTTAAATATTTAAATATTTACACAGCACCGTTATGCTGGAGCGTGTGCCATGTGCCAAAATGTCGATCATTGCTTTATATTCGGCTAAACGCATTGCGCGATGATTGTCTTCACAAATTGTTGAATAAAACAAACATTGAATAAAATTATCGGGTAAGTAGGACTTGCACATGTTGTGGCTCCTTTCACTCTACTCCACATACTCTGTAAACAGCACAACATTTGCGTTTTTGTGTTGTTTCGTTTTTTGTGCGTGCTTTTTTTGTAATGCGTAAAAAACGTACATGTTGGTAGCGTATGTGCTCGTATTTGCATCATAATCAACTCTCAAGTAGCATTGACTCTTTGTGCGGCCGCTCATTCACGATTTTGTCTGCTTTCACACTCGAATTAACATCAATATCTACACAATGGTTCATAATTCATGTCGGACTATCTAGAAACAATAAATTTACTATTCCATCACGTAGGGGTTGTGTTTTATATCAATTTTTTAAATTTTATTTTAATTAATGCGTTTTTTTTATTTTTTTTTATTCTAATGCATGCAGTGTTTGTAACCCGATCGCGTAATATTAGAAGCACATTAAATTAATGCACGATTAGATGCGCATAAAATTCGATGGACATTAGATTACGGCGACGGATCGAATTCAAACTGGTTTGTGCCTAAACGCCAAACTAATGAAATCATCGACGGAAGGGTTGTTGTGAAACACGCGGGGTAGTCAAGGCCACACCGGTCCGTGCCGCTGACCACCCCTTTGGGTAGGTACATAAATCACAAAGCTTTTTAATTACGTTTTTTTCTTCTTATCGTTTGAGTTAAGTTCATGAGCGCGTAATAAACGCGATAGAAAACAGAAATTTCTATCACGTGTCGAATGCAGTTGGCAGTTCTCCTTTCCTCCTTCCTTCCTGGCTGATTGTGTATTCTTAGAGACGGAAACTGATCCTTCAAAGTCGATTTTCTACCTACGTGTGCTTGTGTAACGCGGAAGACGCACGCTGCAGTCCCGTGTCCGAAAGCGTGAGCCGCAAGGGTGGTTCTCACGTTTTTCGCTCGCTCGCGAACGGTGCACAAACGAGGAGTAATGTCATTACCATCGGCAACTTGACTGTCGTTAGCATCGGACACGCATAATCACATAATAATACGGAGTCCTACCGTACTTGGCCGGCGCGTTTAGAATATAAATTATGCGACTTGCGTTTGAATTATTGAAATTATTTGCATTGCAATATTGCAAAAGCGACGCCAACGCAACGCGGCCGGCAGCCGCCGCTCGACTTCTCGTCGACTCTTTGTGTCTTTCTCGCTTTCTTGCGCGCGCGCGCTGCACGCTCCGCGCCGATATTATTTATTTATACGAATTTATGCGAAACGTAAATGGCGACACACCAACTCGCCGTCGCTTTATACGTACGGCGTGCGCGCGCGCGTATGTAGGTAAAATAATGTAATGTAGGAAAAAGAGCACGAAACAGGAACATTACGACACGACAAACATGGTAAAACCGCATGGCGAAACAGCGCGCAAAGCCACCCAGCGCAACACAATATTCGCCTGCTAGTCGCTGTTTGTGCTGTGCGCTCGCATTGCGAAAACGAAATCGAAAGTTTTAATCGATTCGCGTACACCTAATACACCGGCCACACTCGATCTGCATTTCGCTCGTTTTACAGAGGAAAGCATCGCGTTTGGGGCAAAACCAGGGAAACGGCCCACCCTTGGCCGCGCTGGACGCGTGCGCCTTCAATCCACAAATACAAATAGCAAACACAAAAAATAAACGAGGGGCGATAGGCGTTGTTCTATTCTTCTCGGCGAACAATCGCAGCGTGACAATCGATTTCCAATCGATTATCGATAAACTAGCGTCCGGACTAGTTAGCTCCCTCCGCGCGCACTTTTTCGTCGTTTTAAGCGCATTTTATGCGTTTCCTCACACGCTGGGGCCTTTTGCATTTCTATGGGATAATGTCATAATCTATTTATGCCGGCTCATTAATTCTTCTCCCTGCGCTCGTGCGCGCAGGCATCTGATGTTCATCATCAATCATTGCGTATTTGCGAATGTCCGCGCGCGTGTTGTAGGTACTCAATGATTTGTGCTCGTTTTAGGCGACAGCATGCGACGGGCACGACGACCATTTGGCATCACAGTACGGCGATGGCTCAATTACCGTCCGCGCCGGTAAACGTGAACAACAACAACAACACGACCACCACCAACAGCACGCCGAGCGCGCTCTCGACGCCGGAGCGTCTCAAAGGCACCACGTACGACTTGTTCGAGCTGCTGGAGAAGGCGCAAGGCTCCCGCTTGGACGACCAGCGATGCGTTCTACCCGCGTACTTCAAACAGGTACGTGTTGCTGCAATCGCCGTTTTTAATTATTACCCGAGCACGAACTGAAACAGCTAACTAACCATGCATTTTGCGCGCGCCGCTTGCAAAAAATTCCCGTGTTAAATTCAAGACACGCCACCTTAGAATTCGTGGCATTTCATGAATTACTTCATTTTGAAGTAATTCACGCTGTTTTTTCTTCGTCTTCGCTAGTTTTTTAACGTCGAATATAAAAACGTGGCGCGTTGTTTTTTTTTGTTGTGTGAATCGCCTAGCATTGCTTTGTTTCTTCGCGGCGTCGCGCTGCTTTTGTCTGTCGTGCTTCACAGACATCAGTGTTAATATTTTAAGATTTTTTATGGTTATCATCTCGGTTTTTATTACGCCCACGTTTTTATTGTTAAAAAATAATTTTATAATCGGCCTAAGTCACTCCGTTTTTTCTCCGTTTTTCATAATTTTATTGACTATTGTCTTTTGGTTGTTTCTCGCGGGTTTTATTATTTCGCGCTTAGATTTTTGGTGATGATACGGCATGCGAACGCGTTTAAAATTAATTTATTTCTACGCGCGGGAGTTGTTTTAATACAACGGAACATACCGCGCCATCTGTGCGCCAATATTTAAATTGTTAGGTAGTCGAGTTCTATACATTATCCGCCTGCGTGTAGATGGCGTTGAAGAACACTTCGCACTTTGATTCACAGATGGCGCGACGTGTATAATACCAGTGTATTATATTCATTATTTCAAAGGCGTGTAACAACCAACGCCGTTGTTGTTGAAAGATCGCGGACAGATTGTCTTCCTTTCTATTCGGAATTAGTTGTGGCCTGTGTACGCAACGCACAAGCGGTGAATTGTTATCGAGGCGCGCATTCGGCGCGGATTTATCGACTATTTATCTGCGTAAAAAGCAGGCGGTCGGTAAATAATGCATAGGTAGATAGAATAAATGGAGAAACGCAATATGAAAAAGTCAAGGTTGTTCGGGTGTTTCAATACATGGTAGCCGTTGCGGGCGATAGTAATTTATTTACGTGCGGCGTGCATTTATATTTTATGTTTTCCATAATTTATGTACGCACACTGGAACTAGACTGTTTTCTGTGGCATGGCATAACTTGTAATTTAATTATTTAACATTTGAAAAGAACGCCGGAACGCCAACATGTCGTTTATGCATGCATTCGCCCGCATTGCAAAGTCCAAGACGAAAAGGAAATGCTCACAAGTCACAACACACTCGAAAGAAACTTAGAGAATTAAAAAAACTAAGTAATTACGTAAAATCAAGGAAATTGAAGTCCGTTTTGCAATTTGAAACTGGTCGCGTTGCGTAGTTGCTCCCGACGCGTCTGTCGAGACGTCTAATTAATCGCGTCGTAGTCTATAATTATGCTAAAATAATTAATTCTGCTAATCTTATGCTTCAATAGTTACACAATGCTAATTAAACATGCGTGCATTGTTACGTCTGTTAGGCGAATGCATTAGGTGAAAATGCAATGCGCGTTTTTCATTGTTTATATTAAATTAGAGTCCCTCAACTGGTGTATTGTAACGCGCGCGGCACTCTAAACCGTTTATGGCTATTTATATTCACGATCATCACTTGATATTTGTGTGCACTTACGAGCCACCCAAATCCAAACATCGGATTCAATGGCACTCCGCTCGCGCGTAATTGAATTCATATTAATAAAGTGTGACACTTAAAATATTTGTAGTGCAGCGCAGGCAGACAATAATAATTAAATGTCGTTATGGTGTTATGTTAACTCTGCTGGCACGCACGCGTAATTATTTAGGCCTACGGAGCAGCTTAGTTAATCAGCGTGTAATCATCGTTACGTATTGTATCGATGTTGATTATTTATGCGGCATGCCGGAGTTGCGTTCAGTTTGCATCGATTTCCACAATGAGTTGCAGTGTGCACTCTGGAGCTTGTGAACACGCTGCTTCCCGCCCGCCCGCTTTATATAGATTTCTATTTTTGAATGCGAATGTGGAAAAATGTGTATTGCATCCCATTCGAAGGCGTTACTGTGCATTGCTCAATAAAGCCTCCACTTTATCGCCGTTAATCATAACATCGCAACAAAGTAGCGCATCTCGCAGTGTGACGTTCGTGCTGAATTCTGGCGCGGTGGAAAAAACGTGCGTTTCCACGCGATCGCGATTAAAGATGAGCTGGAGACGCGCTGGAGGCGAACGCAACAGCCCGTCGAAAATGTCATAGCGCGAGAGCTGTAAAAATAGGCATGGGTAGAAAAACGCGTCCCGATGTGCGTCGCGAACGAAAAAAGACCAACAATAAAAAGCTTGTTAAAAAAACGCTTTGAAGAGGAACATCGAATGATCGCGTATAGGCGATGGGTATGTGTGTGTGTACTGCTGGTGTCTCTTGTACGGTTTCGTGCGGGTGTGATGGGTGGATGGCGCTCACCCACCGGAAAGAGCGCGTTCTTGCACCGCTCGTTTGTCTCCGGTCGGCTTTGTTCTTCTGCACGGGCGTAGACACACGATACGTGGGCACAGAGGGAAGAAGACGAGACAAAGTGCGGCGGCGGTTCACACAGCGCGAGGCGGGCCGGCGCGTTCGCACCCACCGTGAAACATGAAAAACGGATGTGGATAAGTGTGTACTTTAAGCATTCGCCGAGGTAAGCGAAGGTACACACGAACAGCTCGCGATACTGCTGCGCACAAAGCGCGGCGCTCGTTGAAATATTGAAAACGTAACACCGGACGAGAAGATGACCAAAATAAAACGCGCAACAACAAAAAACGTCTCCACGTCAGAGCGACGGTGACGTCGTTGACAGTTTTTTTTTTGCAGACGCGCGCAGTAATAACCCCAGAAGCCTTCCTGGCTATTAAGCGCGCTATCTAAGGCAAATAGCACAAAGTTAATGTTTGTTTTGCGTTGAGGTGTACTCGTCGAGCGAGGAAATTACAAAGGAAGTCGTATAGTCGAAAGGAAACTGCGTATAAATTATAAACTTTGCAGTGAGTACCAAAGTTGAACGGCATTCGCCACACCACCTTCCAGTGTCTACGAAACCGCCGCGCGCGCGTAAAAATACAAGAGGAAAACGCACGCAGGAATATTAAGCGAAGAAGTAGAAGAAAAAAAACGAACAAAACGGATTTCCGCTCATTCTCGTTTCGGACTTTCTCATGTCCTCTTATTTTCTAGGCTATATTTGTCTTTAATATTGTATTTTATTGCGCAAACATTCAGCAACAAGTTTATCGTGCCCGTTTAGTATTGAATGTTTTATTTAAATTCATCGCAGTACCGAAACGTATTCGGGAATTTTGTGATCGTTTCATCTTCTTTCCGACTGATAGAAAATGCCAAAGAGGGTGAGAAGTAAGTGGGTTATTTTCGGCGAGCTCCAAAATAGAAATCTATAAGAAACTAAAAATGAAAGAAAACTCGGAGCGGAATTTATCTCCGCGACTGTTTCTCGCGCTGTGTTCGCAACACAGGCGTTTCGAATCATTGAAAATCATCACGATTGCGACGTTGAAACGAATTTAATGTACGGCGCTGGAATTTCGTGTTGTGGGTGGCGATGGAAAACAATTGCGATGTAGATTTAACAGCGAGAGAATTGGCGATACGAAATTAGCGTAATATGCAATTAAAATCAAAGAGTCGCCTTTCAACGCGACAATGAATCACGGCACCAAAATACGAACACCTCGATTGGCAATTCAATTAGGAGGAGGCAATTACGGACCGCTTAATGTGTCAAGGCTAGAACAAATTCCGAAGAATTGTCAACGATCACGCTCGAAAAAGGTTTCTCATGAATTTCGATCAATTCGTTCTAGCAGTGTGGTGTGTTTGTGGTGAACTTTTCATTTAGTATCGTAAGTTTGCCAACTCGGGTGGTTGGAGAACAAAAACCGGAAACGGGGCAGGTGCTGACCGTGGCGTTTGGAGGGCTTAGTTTCCGATTAAATTTCGAACACCTGACGCTCGGGAGCATTCAAATCCGGTGGAAAAAAGGCTGGATGCAAATGCGGTGTGTCGGTTTCGGCGTGCTGCCGGTTGAATTTCGTCGCTTTTCGACGCAATTCGGTCGATTTTATCGGCCAAACGGGCAGCCATGTTCCCGCAGATGAACGATAGTCAGGCGGCTGCCACCACTACCGGCAGCTAACTAGTCGCGCTGGTCGCTGCTCGTCGCTGCCGGCTGCCGCTTTCAGTCGAGCTCGAGCATTCTTCGCGTGCGTCCGCATCGCGTTCTCACCTCGCTAAGCCTTCCTGCGAAAATGTGACGTGCGGCGTCGGTGGCGGAGTGTCTGTCTGTCTGTCTAGCAGACGCTTAATGGATGTGCGGTTTTGAGAGTTGTTCGCTTCGCGTATTGATTGGATATTTCGCCGGCGCCGGTCGCGGTGACGAACGCTGTGAGTGATGCGCACTTTTACGAACACATCCCCAGTCAGCGGCGGTGCATCCCCTAATTCAAACTCGGTGAACACATCGACGATCTCACCGCTGCAGTCGCCAATTCTGGCGAAATCCCCGCGCCGAAACTACGCCACCTCGAAGTCGCAATCGAACACTAGCCTGCAGGCGCACTTCGAGCGGCATTTCGATCGCACGAATTCGACCACGTCCGAGAAAAGTGCGCCGGATTCAAGGGAAAAGGGCAACACGTTGCCGCGTGGTTGGGTCCGGCAGGCGGTTATGGGGGTGCTCCGTTGGAAAGAAATGCCTACCGGCAGGAGCAGTGACAATATACCAAAAGTTGCTCTTCAGGTAATAATAATTACACATCGCGCAAGTCTCTGCGTGTCGCAAATAATTATTTTGAAACTGCTTCGTAATGCGGCAAGGTGCGCACTTTGGATATATTGGTGACGGTCGTCCGATCAATCATGCATGCAAAAATTGTCAATCAGCCGATTTGATTCAATCTTCTTTGGTGCGCGAAAGTTGTCAGTCATAATTTTAATGCTTGTGTCGTTGTTGTTGTACCGGTGGTGGGGCCGGGCGCGTGGGCGTATTTCATGCATGGCTCGCGATTTGAAGTCCGTGCGCGCAACCAAATTCAAATTTGAAGGCGCATTACGCAGGGAATATAGCAGTCCAGGAGTTGTAAAGAGCGCCGGTGCACATTTCGCTGCAGTAGTGAAAATGATCGAGGGCAATGAACCGATACATCACCCAACTATGTTTACTGTTGGTATACACCTAGAGAGTCGGCTGGTGCGCGCCGACCGGCGACTTCGAACGGCTTTAATCCACAATCCCGGCGTCTCTAAGCTAAGCCGCCGCGCAGCGCACCAATGCAATTCCGATTTACAGTTTTGCTATTTCTGCTTGAAGCGCCCGCGCGCGCCGTAGAATTTCTTCGAAACCTTAATGCGCTTAACGATCAGCCGCGCGGTGATCACTCCCCAGTCGGGGTCTAGACTTCCAGACTCGAAGGCGACCTCGTTTCCCCGACCTCAGACTGAAGCTGAAAACCGTCGAAATCGCCGGATTGCGAGTCGAGGCACGTCTCGTGCGTCTTTTCAAATCTTCGCCGAACGTGCACCGTCGAAAAGTCTTCTTCGTACTTCCCGGATCGGATCGCACGTTTTTAAAAACAGATTTACACGCTCACGTTCGAAATACGCATGACTAACATAAAAACGTAATAAAACGCGATAATAATAGAAATATGAGCGCGTAGCGATGAGACAATGCGGCAATCTCTCAGATAGAGACGGTGGAATCGTCATCCGTGTCCGCAGGTAGCGCACATTAGTGATCTTAGTCACTGTTTAATCATCGGACAGCATCAAATGCTAGTAGGTATTTGGAATCATGAAGCAACGAACTTCAAGGTTTCATTATTCAGGTTTACAACGTAAAGACCGAAGTTTTGGGGAAAACAACGCTTTATGACTGCGCGCCACAGTCCATGGTTATCATTTTGATGGAATGTAAACGGCTTTTTTGGGGCGTAAGGTTACTGTTTCTTTTTGTGTTCAAATTTTTGTTATATAATGATTTGCACTTTAACCGCGCGCGTTTTACATCTGCTGCGATTTATACGCGCACAAAAGAACGCGTGAAAAAATTGTGTGTTCGCGCGCCATTTGGTTGAATTTGGAATATGGCATATTGAAAAACCGGAACGCAGTCAAGAACTTTCATTTCGTAATGCCTCGTGTTTATTAGATTGCTTTGTTGTTTTTTTTTTCTCTCTACCTGGCGATATGGGCAACGTGCTAATGCAATATTTATAATTCGTGACCAATGAGACGTAATGAGCGAATGCTAAGCGCAGCAAAGTTTAGGTTGTGCGCTCGTGGACATGTCGGCCGCCTGGCTGGCGGACAGACAAACACATGTATTCTCTTCGGTGCCGTATGTAGTCCAGTGTATTCGTATATAATATCGACGGCGTGCGGTTTCTTTTCCGTATTGTCGACGCCGATTCGCCTCGGCCACGCAGTTCTTAGCACGGTCGATATGAATACGGCGCGATATGAAGCGGCGGCGCGCCGCGTGGATGTGGGACAATGTGAAAGTTGCAACTTCTTTTTACTTCTCGTTATTTCTCTCATTATATTTCCTTCACAGATGAATCAGCGCGCGGTTCGCGCGACCTGCCTGCTCTTTCTGGCGTTTGCAATGACTAATCGAAACGATGTTTTAAAGATTTTCTTTCTTTTTCGCTGCTTTTGTGCGCTTTTCAAAGCGCGAGTGGCGTTATAAAACTAATGGTACGTGCATGACATATGGCTAATGGCAATTTCACCGACCCAGGCAATCGATAAGTCGATTGCGCTCGTTTGTTTTCCATTTTCTGTTTTCTATTTACTCGCGTTCGTGCCATGCGTTTATTTTACAATCTGTCTGCGTCGCGTTTCGTTTTCCTCGATTTTCTTTTTTGCGCACTTCGCGGCGCGACGCGCGGAGAATACGCGCGGCGTTACAAATAAATCAAGCGGAATACAACTTCAGTTCCGGTTCGCATATTAGCGATTACCAACACAACAATTACGCTCATTGCTCAAGCGCGCTGCTCTTTCTCTCTGCGATATCTGCTCCGCACGAATTTTAATTGAGTTCACTTCTAATTGTTATAGGTAAACAACAATAATACAAGTAGATCTTCGCCTTCGAGCGCCTCTTCGTCTTGTGCACTACTTCGAAACCAATCTTTCTCGCACATTTCTGCTTCTTCGACCAAGCACAATACAAGAACACAACAAAACACAGCCAAAACAAACGCAAACATTAACAGTTTCCTACGGGTAAGTAGTGTCTCTCTTTACTACTTCTCTTGCTCCAATCTCGGAGATTCTAATATTCTAACCAGGTAAAAGTTGACGTGCAGTTATCACCTAATGTCTAACGGAGCGTAGTAGTTTATATGCATGAACAAGTGCTTTGAGACTCGCTAACAACGAGACGTGTATGTGTGTTCCAGGCGACAGCAACTCAGCAAAGACACAGCACCGGTAGCACCGACAAGGAGTGCCACCAGCGACTGTCCAGCAGCAGCAGCAACAACAACAAAATCTCCTCACTCGGAGGCGGCGACCGGGGTGCCATCACGCCTGTGTACCACCGCTCGTCGTCCCTGTGTGGCACACCGCCCGGCTCGCCGCAATCGGCCAACTCGCAGCAGTCGACGCAGACACAATGCAGGCGTCTATTGCAGGAAACGCTATCGCGACCCGGCCAGCTTCCTCTGATTGTGGCGGCGGAAAACGGCGGTTATTGGGTGGACGGCACCGACCACGAATGCTCGTTCGATTTGCGCGGCGCAGTCATCCTGCCGCACGGCACTTGGCGCGCCAAGATCGAGACGGACGACACGGCAAAGTGCTATCGCCGCTTCTTCCATGGCCGGGTGAGTTTGAGATGCGTTTGTTTTTCTTATTCGGCACTTCCTTGTCCTTCGCCCCACACGTGCGGATGAACTTTTGTGCTAATTACCACGAGATGGTGTGTCATAATCGCTGGGAAGCAGCGCTTCTTAGGCGATGAGACAAAGAAGTGTTGAGAAAATCACTCAAGCAACGCACGAGAACCGTGCGAATCTTCCCATGCGCTTTATTCGAATTCACGAAAATATACGCAATATACGCAACCGGCTGCGAATGCTGTGCGCATTTCTTTTTATCTGAAAATTTCACAATTTTTATTGCTCCGCACTAGCGGTTGTCAAATGTTGGGTAGATGCATGTACATGCTCAAAGTTTTGAACACAACACCGAGTGTCTGAAGTTCTGGTTGCGCGAACGCGCGCGCGCACACACATTCACAAAAGTAACACGAGCATGCCAAAGTACTGTATCTTCGACTTCAATTGCACGCTTTGCTTAATGGCAACTCGTTTGTTTGGCCATTGTTCGCGTTTTAAACGCGTGGGATTCGGATTACAATTATATTTTCCATTGTACTGGTCGCAAGACCTGTGAGAAGCCCAACCCATTGTTCATGCATTATTCTAGTACGGAATGATCAAGAATAAAGAAATACAAAATGCTAGTTACACAACCGCGATACTTGAACGAGAACAAAAAGAGCACAACGACTCCGAGAAACGAGGCCCAACCTTCTTTGTACCGACTTGCTGTCGTGATTCATGGTCATACTTCCTGTTAAACAAGCTCGAAACTTATGCGGAGCAGAGAAATAACACGCATTCTGCACATCCTGCAAGGCCAAGACGATTTATTTACTAATTTGGTATTCTTTTTAGGACCACTCGAATCTCATCGGCACGGACGAGACGCTCGGCCCTGTCCTACTTTCAATAAAGTACGATAATGTAGGGAACCAGGAGCATACTCGCATCATGCTGCGATTGAAGACTGGCACAATGCACGAATTGGTCCCACTCTCCTGCATGGGCACACAACCCACCCCGCAGAAAATGGCAAAGTTGCTAAATGAATCTCTGCATATCGAGAATTTCACTCCGGTGCTCTGCCCGAAGTCATCAAGTCTCATTGCTACCTATGACGAACACGTGCTGGTTTCCACCTTCAAATTTGGAGTGCTCTATCAGAAATTTGGCCAGACCACCGAGGAGGAGCTTTTCTGCAACAATGAGACAACGCCGTCGTTCGACAACTTCTTGAATTTGCTTGGTTCACGCATCCAGCTCAAAGACCACAAGGGTTACCGAGGTGGACTAGACATTCAGAATGGGCACACAGGTGATAGCGCCGTTTATGAGAGCTTCAAGGACAGGGAGATCATGTTCCACGTGTCCACCTTGCTACCATACACGGAGAGCGATCCGCAGCAATTGCAGCGCAAGCGACACATTGGCAACGACATTGTCGCCATTGTTTTTCAAGAGGAAAACACCCCATTCAGTCCTGGTATGATTGCCAGCCACTTCTTGCACGCGTTTATTGTCGTGCAAGTGGTTGATGGTAACACTCCCAACGCCAGATACAAGGTGAGTGTCACCGCACGCGATGACGTGCCCTTCTTTGGACCAACGCTACCTACCCCAGCAGTATTTCGGCATGGCCCCGACTTCAAGGAGTTTCTTCTCACGAAACTTATCAACGCGGAGAACGCGTGCTACAAAGCGGACAAGTTTGCTCGTCTCGAGCTACGCACCCGGGCGTCTTTGCTACAGAATCTCACAACTGAATTGAAGGAGAAAACAACCGAATTTCTAACGACTGGTCCCGTGGCCCCTCTCACGCCTAAGAGCGATTCTGGGCCCGGCTCACGTTTCATGGACACGGTCCGAAAAGCCTGGACGTCGCGGGTCAAGTCCTCTTCCAGCGTGAGCGTCGACAACGGTAACAACAACAATCTGAAACATGAGGAGAAAACAGACAAACACACGAAGAAGTCTAGTCAAGCCATGGGCAACGGAAGCACACCATCGGTATGTATTGCAGCTAAATTTAACGCAGGTCATTTTAATGCTGAATTCGTGTGAACTTACAGAGCATTCGTTCGTTGTCGAAGAAGAGCAGCACTTCATCAACGACATCTTCGCCCGACTTAACCGCCCACGCACAATCGCATTCTCATTCAGCCATGTCGGAGGCGTCGGACGATTCGCTAACCAGCGAGGACTTGGAACACTTAGTGGGCGGCTACATTGATAGCGATACAGGGTTGGAGAGTATGAGCAGTGCGGAGACGGCTGCGAAATCATGCAGTGTCTGCCAGGATCAGCCGCTGCCCAGCAGTGGTGTTAACGACACCCTTATGCAGGAAGTAACGCGACTGAAGTGCGACAAACTGGAACTTCTGCGTCAGAATGTCGTAAGTGTATTAATTTTATATTGCATTGCTATAATTAATTCACACTTTAATTTGATTTAGACCTGTCAACGGGATATGAAGCGATTGCGCGAGAAAGAACTCACCCTGCAGGCCGATCTCACAATGGCGACCAAGGAGATCGTGCGTCTCAGAGAACTGTTGAAGGACTACAGTCCCAATGGCGAGCTGTCGTCACCCTCTTAAGTTATTAATTTCACCCCATTGATGTGGTTTGCACCTGCATCGACTGCATTCTTGCATTTTTCGAAGCTTTTCGAAGGTTTTTTTAAACATTTAATGAACAAAGATTATGTTTACCAACACGCGTTAATGTAATACCAATTATACCAAAGTAACATTCCCTTTCTTGATTTTTCTTAATGTTTTTTTTCTGTTTGCAACTTAAATGAAATTGCAAAGAATGTTTAATTATTTAATTAGAATCATAGGCAAAGAAGACGAAACAAAGATACCTTTTAAGGATACGTTTAAGAGAGAGAAATGATATTTATATAAATATATTGTATTATTATTAATATTATATATACACTTATATTGTAGAGTAGTTGCTTAGTTGTATTAATGTTACATGTGTAATGATAGGGAATACATAAAAGTGCACTGGTTTTTTTTTCTACCGAAAGAAACTGATATGTGATTGATTGTAAACTGATGCAAAGTGGAAACACTTTATGATAACGGATGGCCTTCACAAATACACTATTTAAATACATGTTTAATTTGATTTTAATTTATTCTCTCTAATTCCAATAGAAATTCTGTTTCTGCAGTGAAACTCATTTCTCTTAAACGCATCGATGTATGATGTATTTGTTTTGAGTCATATCAGCGTTTGTGTAGAAACCACTTTCTTATCGCATTCGCCATATATATACTAGTTAACCGGGCAAACATTGTTTTGCCATATAAATTATTTCTAGTTTCTAGATAAATTTTAGTGTAGACAAAGAGTAACTTACTTATTATAAGTGTGTCAGTATGAAAAATTTAATTAACTGAACTAATTGTGCCAAATACACTTAAAATGAATAATTTTATTATTATGAATAAAATAGTAATCTATAATATAAAAATGAATCGCAAAATGTGTTGTTAACCATTGTAAACGATACTTACTACACTTGATACGTATACCATAATGATGGCCGAAAACTGTGTAGGGTGTGACCGAAGTCTTATTGTGTGAGTGAAAAAGAAGACCGGCTTCAGTCTCATTCCTTCAAGCGGTATGAAAAGTGAATAAATTACTAAAATGGCTATAAAAAATAAGGTATTTAGTTCTTTTTCACTAAACATGATTATTAAATTTTAATAGCAAACAAATAATTTCAATTATTGTCACAATTTTATAAGTAAAGCTCTGATTGCAGGAGTGATGGAAAACCGTGGCAGCCTGGAAAAAATTCCAGAATTTGCAGTGCACATTTTGTTGGGGGTGAAAAATCTAACAATCCACTCAATGAATCTTATCACCCAACTATATTTCCTCTAATATACGTAAAAAAAAAGAAATTCTAATGCAGGTTTACGAGCTGAGAGATTGCGAAAACGACGGGAAAGAATTTCATCTGCAATAATTAATACAGCTCCAGCAGATGCTGCAGTTGATGAAATAGTTGTTTCTGAGAAACATGATATTGGCATACAAACAAAAATATTTTTTTGTCGACATTTTTTTTAAATGTTTAATTATTGATAATATATTCAATAATAAAGTGTAAACATTAGCTTGACAGGTGTAGCTTACCCACCATTTAAAAAATAAGCCACGAGGCGGCGCTAAGGTAGATACTTTACTAGCGTATTGAAAGTTTGTTTTCTCCCATGTGTGAATATAATATTATCATATTGTATGAAATGTTTTTGTTTTAACTTATGTTTTCTTTTAATTACAGTACTTGCTGTACCCTTGCAATCCGAGGAGCATTGGTAAGTTTATAATTAAGTTATATTATTCGATTAAATGTTTTATCACATTTCACCTGCGTATTGCAATAGCCCGCGAACGGGGGGCCGGGCGTATATATTTCATTTAATGGTAATATTGAAAACGGATCATATTGTGAAAAACCATTGTGAAATGTTCCAACTTTTTATCGGATTCTGATAGCGCACGAGGGGTTTTGTTAATTTTTTTGTTAATTTACTTGAGTCTCATTCGGTATACCGTAGCAGGGTGGCGATAGGAGTGACTTGTGTTCAGAGCACCGTAGGGGGTGAGGGTAGAAGTGAATCGTATTCGGGCACCTTATGAGGATGAATGTGTAGCTGAATTTCATTCGCGCATTTTTCTTTTGAATTAAAATTTAATTACAAAATGTTATAGAAAATTGTCCGTAGATTAAGAATCTGCGATATGTTCCTTTATATCTCTTTTAGTTTGCAAGATATTCGTAATTGAAATAAATCTTCAAAAATTGAAAAATGTCACCTTGTTGCATATTTGATAAATGTGTTTTGAATATTTTTAAGTTGATAAATATTTTCGAAGGTTAGATGGCGCTACGATGTACGATTTTGCATTAAACATTGCTTGTTGGTGGTAGTGAGTGCACACCGTGTCCGTGTGCGATCACGCGATTTCGCGCAAGAGATAAGTTTGTTTACCAGCAGGTATTGAATAGTTCGTGGAATCAAAACACACCGTTGCTGTTTATTATATTAGCATCGTAAATAAGCAAATATTCTGCAATTCTTTCATGAATATAACTAACAATTTTATATTAATTCTAATAGTTTATTATAAAAATTATCAAAGATACAAACATTTTTATTATCAGCAGATAATTACGGACTAATGTGTTACCTAGTAAACGAGAAACGATGCATGTTCAAATTAAATATCACTTAAATATTTAATGTAAAATCTGGCAATCTGTCAGCATAAGAAATCAGAATTACTCAAATCGAATTTTAATTTTTTATTACCTTTACTAATCTAAATTTCGAAACTACTGTATCATTTATAGATGGCAATAGCGTGGACTAAAAATTTTAAAACAAACTTGTATTGTTCATTTCTACGAGCATATTTATCAGCAAGCGTGAACCTTCGACACCGAATCGTGTTTATTGGAACACAATATACACTTTCTTATCGCATTGCCGTGTTTCGTCTTTGCCAGCACCTCACGGCGCATGCTGCTGTATCTTAGTTTAGTTTTGATCCAAGGTAAAGTGCCAAATGCAATTCGTGCACAACTTCGCGTGCAATCGACGCGCCGGCCTTGCGCCCCTTCTGCTTTCTTATCATTAACTGTTCGCCGTTGCTTATGCAGTTTGCTGCCAGTTTCGTGCGGGTATCTGGTTGATCCAATATTTTACGCGACTCTTATTGTTTGTCCGGACATCTACGTACTTTCCAAATTCGCATTATATTCGATCATCAATCGTCTATAGTAATGTAATTTACTGTTTGCGCGTTTATTTTCCATAAATGCCGGTTAAGTGTATCGCCCCCATGTTGATTTGATATTCATCATTAGGATGAACCCATCGTACTGGTATAAGTCACTTTTAACTAAACAGCCCAGAGTGTTTGTTTTTCTCCGCTGTGTGATTATAATAGTACTAAATTATTTTAAATGTTTTTGTTTTAACTTATGTTTTCTTTGTTTATTTACAGTATTAGCCGTGCCTTGGAGTCCCATGAGTTCTGCATTGGTAAGTTTATAATTCAATTATATTTTTCGTTTTAATTTCTGCGTCTTCTATTAGTTTGTATTTACGTTGTTTAGATTTATCGCGTTCCAGCGCGTGTTGCAAATATATAAGGTAGTCGCGTACTCGACTGATACATCTCAAAATTAACTGTTTAGTTCTTTGAAAATTTGTTTGTTTTTATTTAAGTATAATTCATCGATGGGACTAACATCAAACAAAAATTGCTGATTTATCAACGTTTGCATATAAACAACAATTTTTGTGTCGCGTTGCCATCTGCTCATATCGCATGCAGTGTATTTTAGTTTGCTTTGATCAGATATATCCCCCCGGAACAAAATTATTTTTAATTTTTACCAGATAGCGAATTTTCCAATCTGTCATATTCTCTCATCCGTTGGTCGCTTGCGATTTTAGTTTAAAAGAGGGCAGCGATAGAAGTGACTTGCATTTAGGGCACCGTACAAGGGTAGCGGTAGAAGTGACTCGTGTTCAAGGCACCGTACGAAGCTAGGGGTAGATGTGACGCGTATTCTGGGTACCGTACGAGGCTAGCGGAAGAATTGACCAGATTCGGGGCACCGTACAAGGGTTGCGGTAGAAGTGACTCGTGTTCAGGGCACCGTATGAAGTTAGCGGTCGAAGTGACTTGATTCAGGGTACCGTACGAGGGTAGCGGTAGCGATTTCCGTTTTAACTAGCCTCTCTTATAGAGAATAGCCCGTAGAATATTCTCTGCGCTTTGTTCCTTTTAGTTTAAGAGATATTCGCGATTGAATAAAATGGGCAAAAATTGCAAAATGTCACTTTTTAGCACATTTAGTCGCGTTTTTCGACCATTTACTGTAGGAAATATAATTATTTTATATTTTCATCTGATAGAGAATTTTCCAGTCTTTCATAATCAACAATTCGTTGGTAGCTATCTCGTTTAGTTTAAGAGATATTAATTTTTAAAAATCGTTGAAAAAATGTATCAAGCACCCCCCCTTGGCAATTTTTTTCTTAAGACTTATAATTTCTTCGCTCAAATTTCCTTTTTAACTACCCTATCTGATAAAGAGTAGTCCGTAGATTAAGACGCTGCGATCAGATCTTATTTATCTCTTTTAGTTTACGAGATATTCGCGATTGAATAAAATGGGCAAAAATTGCAAAATGTCACTTTTACCACTTTTAGTCGAGTTTTCGACCTTTTACTGTAAGAAATATAATTATTTTATATTTTTATCTGATAGAGAATTTTCCAATCTTTCATAATCAACGATTCGTGGGTTGCTATCGCGTTTAGTTTAAGAGATATGAATTTTTAAAAATCGTCGAAAAAAAGTATCAAGCACCCCCCCTTGGCAATTTTTTCTTAAGAATTAAAATTTCATCTCTCACATTTCCGTTTTAACTATCATATTTTATAGAGATAGGGTCGTAGATTAAGATGCTGCGACCAGATCTTATTTATCTCTTTTAGTTTACGAGATATTCGCGTTTGCATAAAATGAGCAAAAATTGCAAAATGTCACTTTTAGCACTTTTAGTCGCGTTTTTCCACCTTTTACTGTAGGAAATATAATTACTTTATATTTTTATCTGATAGATAATTTTCCAATCTTTCATAATCGACGATTCGTGGGTTGCTATCGCGTTTAGTTTAAGAGATATGAATTTTTAAAAATCGTCGAAAAAAAGTATGAAGCACCCCCCCTTGGCAATTTTTTCTTAAAAATTAAAATTTTATCTCTCACATTTCCGTTTTAACTATCATATCTTATAGAGCTAAGTTCGTAGATTAAGACGCTGCGATCAGATCTTAATTATCTCTTTTAGTTTACGAGATATTCGCGATTAAAGAAAATGGGAAAAAATTGAAAAATGTCACTTTTAGCACTTTCAGTCGCGTTTTTCGGCCTTTTACTGTCGGAAATGTAATTGTTTTATATTTTTATCTGATAGAGAATTTTCCAATCTTTCATAATCGGCAATTCGTGGGTTGCCATCTCTTTTAGTTTAAGAGATATGAATTTTTAAAAATCGTCGAAAAAAGTATCAAGCACCCCCTTGGCAATTTTTCTTAAGAATTAAAATTTTATCTCTCACATTTCCGTTTTAACTATCATATCTTATAGAGCTAAGTTCGTAGATTAAGACGCTGCGATCAGATCCTATTTATCTCTTTTAGTTTACGAGATATTCGCGATTGAATAAAATGGGCTTTGCGCTAGGAATTGTAGTTTGTTTGTGATAACTCGCGAACGCGGTGTTACAATTAGTTCGAAATAATTTTCCTAGATGCTGAGTTTAATTCTGTATCCCCCTGTATTGAAATTTATTGCAAGAAAATTCCGTAACGCGAGTTATATTGAAAGTTGTGTGTGTGCGCCGTAGTACTCGTTGCGCTAGGAATTGTAGTTTTATTAAGCAGCTTTAAATTTGAACATCACGACTAATATAGCTTTGATTCTAGGAGTCTCTACTACCGCCACCTTCGTACGGTGCCTTGAATGGGAGTCACTTCAGTCGCTACCTTCGTACGGTGCCCTAAATGGGACTTTTTATGGATCCTGTAAGTATAATTAATTTAATTTATGTATATGTATATTTCATTTACATATATATTTTCCAGTTGGATGAAGCATTGGCAATTCCTGAGATGCCCAAATTTATCAATAAGGAGCAAGTTGAGAGATTCCGTGGTACTGGTAGAGTGCGTATTGAGGATGATGTTTTGACTACTGAAAATGGATGTGTCAACTGGACTAAAATACCCAGAACGTATGTTATATGTTGGCAATTTATAATATTTTATATTTTACTATTCTGTTATTCTTTCTGATTTATAGTGTCCACGAAATTGAAGATTGGATTGCCGGTGTTGATGATGATTCCAAACACGATTGAATGAATTTACAACATTTTGAAGCTGATATTGATATCATATTATGTATCTAGTGAAATGGTATAAAAGGGCATTATATAATTGCATATTATTATCCTGTTTTCATGCATGTATTGTTAAAAATGCTGTATATATTGAGGAATTGAGTTTGTGATTCTACATGTTTGAATAAAATTGTTGTTTTATATTTTTGACTATAAATTTTTATTGTTTTATTTGTTCCAAACGGGGAACATAGCTCGCAACATCGTTACTCCTTTAATTAATTCATAAATCCCTTAAACTTTAATGGAAATGTCGCTGCTAGATATGGAAAATAGTTCAAAATCAATTTTATATTTTATCAATATTAATTTAAAAACGGTGTCACTAGTGCCATCTATCCATGAGTAACTAAACTACGTCGCTATTCGAAATGACCTGCTACTCACCAGCCTACTGCACTTTCTGCGATCCTAATATTCAAATGAATTTTGTTACCAATTTCAATGATTTCTCGACAAAATTTGTTGAGAAATTTGCTGAAATGTTGCTGCTCATCAGTCTGTGGTATTAGGAACGCAGAAAGTGGACATAGGCAGTTCCCGCCAGATTATTATATGTATTATTTTAATTTGTTTCGGTACATATTCAATTTTTTCTATAAAATTGCAAATAGGGCCTAAACCGTTAATGCTAGCAAAATATTTTACTAGAATAATTGATATAGAATTAAATTGTCTATCAGAATCCGAAATCAGAATTTAAAAATTCCAATATTTAATATACAACATAAAAAAGAAAAATGTTTTGCCTTTTTTATGACGAAATCTTTTTTCAGCAAATGCAGGTTCAGTAATAATTGAAATTTTTAAATTCTGTTTTCGGATTCTGAAAGTAGATTAAATTCTGAATCGGAAACCAGCAACACACTTATAGATTAAGGCCCTATTGGCATGTAAAAATCAATTAATTAAAAAAAACATGCAAATAGGGCCTAAACGATCAATGTTAAGAAAGTAATTACATAAAAGTCGATATAGAATTTTTGCTTACAGAATCCGAACACAGAATTTAAAAATTCCGAATATACAGAAGCTGCACTTGATGAAAGAAGATTTTTAAACATTAATTTTTCCCGCCTCTACTAGTTACCGCCGAAACTTTATCAGCCTCCTCTCACTTTCTGCGATCCGAATACCAAAAGTCGAGTTTCGACTGTTTCGAGTCCAAATTTTGTGTCATTTTGCCTCTCAGAGTCGACAAAATAAAGATTGAATATTAGGATCGCAGAAAGTTGAGGAGGCTGATAAAGTTTTCGCGGCAACTAGTAATGTGCTGCCTCTGGTGGCGACGGACCGAAGCTCAAAACTTTCGGTTGTTGTAGTTTCTAATTGATAGATGGCACTAGCATGCACTTTTCAAAATAAATGGTTTAAGGAATCGTTAAATACGTGATCAGATAGAAATAACAAAAACAATTATAATTAGAAAAACTTTGAAATATTCTTTATTAAAGAAAACACACAAGCATACATTTTGGGAGTCAATTTGTGTAATAATCACAAAATTTATTTAAGATAATGAAATTTATTACTAACAATCTGATGCAAGAATGGTCCTTTTACGATGTTAGAGTCAGGTGCAAAATCCTAAAACAAGCAAAAATTAGTCCTTCGAATATAAAAATGCAATTTTGGGGTCAATTTGTGAGATAATCACAAAAGTTATTATGGAAAATGATAAAGAAATTTAATACTTACAATCTGGTGTAAAATGGTCCTTCTACGATGTCAGACTCAGGTGCAAAATCCTAAAACATCAAAAATTAATCCTGCGAACATAACAATGCAATTTTGGGGTCAATTTGTGAGATAATCACAAAAGTTATTTAGGAAAATGATAAAGAAATTTAATAGTTACAATCTGATGCAAGAATGGTCCTTCCACAATGTCAGACTCAGGAGCAAAATCCCAAAACCATAAAAATTAGTCTTTTAAACATAAAAATGGAATTTTGGGGGTCAATTTGTGAGATAATCACAAAAGTTAGTTAGGAAAATGATAAAGAAATTTAATACTTACAATCTGATGCAAGAATGGTCCTTCTACAATGTCAGACTCAGGAGCAAAATCCTAAAACCATCAAAAATTAGTCTTTTAAACATAAAAATGGAATTTTGGGGGTCAATTTGTGAGATAATCACAAAAGTTAGTTAGGAAAATGATAAAGAAATTTAATACTTACAATCTGATGCAAGAATGGTCCTTCTACAATGTCAGACTCAGGAGCAAAATCCTAAAACCATCAAAAATTAGTCTTTTAAACATAAAAATGCAATTTTAGGGGTCAATTTGTAAGATAATCACAAAAGTGATTTAGGAAAATGATAAAGAAATTTAATACTTACAATCTAATGCAAGAATGGTCCTTCTACGATGTCAGACTCAAGAGCAAAATCCCTAAAACACGCAAAAATTAGTCCTTCGAACATAAAAATCAATTTTGGGGTTCAATTTGTGAGATAATCACAAAAGTTATTTAGGAAAATGATAAAGAAATTTAATACTTACAATTTGATGCATAAATGGTTCTTCTATGATGTCAGATTCAGGTGCAAAATCCTAAAACAAGCAAAAATTAGTCTTTTAAACATAAAACGCCATTTTGGAGGTCAATTTGTGAGATAATCACAAAAGTTATTTAGGAAAATGATAAAGAAATTAATTACTTACAATTTGATGCATAAATGGTCCTTCTATGATGTCAGATTAAGGTGCAAAATCTCTTAAAGCAGCAAAAATTAATCCTTCGAATACAAAAATTCAATTTTGAGGTTCAATTTGTGAGATAATCAGGAAAGTTATTCTGGAAAATGATAAAGAAATTAATTACTTACAATCTGATGCAAGAATGGTCCTTCTATGATGTCAGAGTCAGGTGCAAAATCCCTAAAACAAGCAAAAATTAGTCCTTCAAACATAAACATTTAATTTTGGGGTTCAATTTGTGAGATAATCACAAAAATTATATAGGAAAATGATAAAGAAATTAATTACTTACATTCTAATGCAAGAATGGTTTTTCTATGATGTCAGACTCAGGTGCAAAATACCTAAAACCAGCAAAATTAATTTTTAACCATAAAAATGCAATTTTGAGGGTCAATTTCTGAGATAAGCACAAAAGTTATTTAGGAGAATAATAAAAGAATTTAATACTTACAATCTGATGCAAGAATGGTTCTTCTACGATATCGGGCTCAGGTCGTAAATCCGTAAAACAATCAAAATTAGTGCTTCGAAACACAAAAATGCAATTTTAGGGGTTAATTCGTAATATAATCACAAAATTTATTCATGAAAATGATAGAGACATTCAATACGTTCAATCTGATGCAAGAATGGTCCTTCTACGATATCGGGCTCACGTCGTAAATTCCTAAAACAATCAAAAATGAGTGCTTCGAAACATAAAAATGCAATTTTAGGTGTTAATTCGTGAGATAATCACAAAATTTATTTATGACAATGATAGAGAAATTCAATTCTTACACTCTGATGCAAGAATGGTTCTTCTACGATATCGGGCTCAGGTCGTAAATCTCTAAAGCAATCAAAATTAGTGCTTCGAATGACAAAATGCAATTTTAGGGGTTAATTCGTGAGATAATCACAAAATTTATTTATGAAAATGATAGAGAAATTCAATACTTACAATCTCATGCAAGAATGGATCTTCTACGATATCGGATTCAGGAGGAAAATCCTAACACAATCAAAAATTAGTGCTTTGAAACACAAAAATGTAATTTTAGGGGTTAATTCCTGCAACAAACAAATACCACCCGACGGAGAATTTAATTCCGCATCTCTATACACCACGCAGATGTTACTGAGCCGCCTAGATCGCGCACAAACCCGAAAAAATACAAACATTTCTCGAGAAGGCGACCAAGATCATCCTTTTATGCAAATTTTCGCGGGTTGCAGACCGAATTCCTACAACAAACAAATACAACCCGATGGAAAATTTAATTCCGCATCTCTAAACACCGCACTGAAGTTAGTGACCCGCCTAGATCGCGCGTAAACCCGAAAGAATACAAACATTTGTCGAGAAGGTGACCAAAATCGCCCTTTTATGCAAATTTTCGTGGGTTGCAGGTCGAATTCCTGCAACAAACAAATACCACCCTAAGGAGAATTTAATTCCGCATCTCTAAACACAGCGCTGAAGTTAGTGACCCACCAAGATCGCGCGTAAACCCGAAAAGATACAAACATTTCACGAGAAAGAGTGACAAAACGCACACTTTTATGCAAATTTTCGCGGGTTGCAGACCGAATTCCTATAACAAACAATTACAACCCGATGGAAAATTTAATTCCGCATCTCTAAACACCGCGCTGATGTTAGTGAGCGGCCTAGATCGTGCGCAAACCCGACAAAATACAAACATTTCAATTCACCCTTTTAGGCAAATTTTCGCGGATTCCTACGGTGCCCTGAATACGAGTCACTTTTACCGCTAGCCTCGTATGGTGCCCTGAATCGAGTCACTACTATTGCTACCAAAACCACCCGACGGAGAATTTAATTCCGCTTCTCTAGACGAGACTGTTAGTGTGTGAATTGTATTTGGCAGTTTACCTTGGATCAAAACTAAACTAAGATGCAGCAACATGCGGCGTGAGGTGCTGGCAACGACGACACACGGCAATGCGATAAGAATGTGTATATTATGTTCAAACAAATACAATTCTTGTGTCGAAGGTTCACGCTTGCTGATAAATATAGAAATAAATAATACAAGTTTATTTTACAATGTTTAGTCCATGCTGTTGCCATCTGTAATTAAAGTAGTTCCGATTAGTAAAGGTAATAAAAATTAAAATTCAATTTGCGTAATTCAGATGCTAACAGATTGCCAGAATTTAAATCAAATATTTAAATGATATTTAATTTGAACATGTATCGTTTCTCGTTTACCAGGTAACACATTAGTCCGTAATCATCTGCTGATAATAAAATGTATTAGAATTAATATATAACTGTTAGTTATATTCATGAAAGAATTGAAGAATATTAAATTTACGATGCTAATATAATAAACAACAACGGTGTGTTTTGATTCCACGAAATAAAGATTCGATACCAGCAGGTAAACAAACTTATCTCTTGCGCGAACTCGCGTGATCGCACACGGACACGATGTGCACTCACTACCACCAACAAGCAATATTTAATGCAAAACCGTACATCGTCGTCCCATCTAGCCTTTGAAATTATTTTATCAACTTAAAATATTCAAAACACATTTATCAAATAAGCAACAAGGTTGATATTGCAATGAAATTGAAAACAACGAAAGTCATACCCGAAACAAACCAGTATTAAAGTAAAGTACTGAAACAGAAAAACGACGCGTGTTAGAATTGCCACTATGCTGCTTACTTGTTAAGTTGGACATAGTTCCGATCATAGCGAAAATATACACTTCTGCTAAGAGCAAACGTAGATAACACATATTCGAACTTGTCAGTTGTATACATATATCTAACTCCAATGCTCAATATCATAATAATTTATTAGCCAACGGTGCATTTACGTACCAATAAAGGCACCACTATTAAAATTGCTTCCCGCACAAATTATTGTTAGCAAAATACTAAACACGTCTCTTGTCAGTAAGCGCCGATGTTTAGGTCGATAATTATACAAGATTATAAAATGTCATGCAGTTCTTTGAACTGAAATCAAAGAAAGAAAGGTGGCGAGCCGCATGTAGGTAAAACGGACTGAAACGTTCGAACGTTTGTAGCGCAGCAGAATGGAGCTGGTTCAACGCGATAACAGAAGGTGTTTAGTCTCCAACACCAATATTAAATGGCAATATCTTAATTGTAAACAACGTGAGCAAGCAAGTTGAAAACGTACTCGTATATGTTGCAACGTAATGACGATGGAAAACGAGTGAATTTTTACAAAAATACAATTATTTATTCTCAAACTTACTAGAAAATGACAGCAGGTTATATCCAGTTGCACTTTCCAGTATCGAATTAAGTCAATTTAAGTCGGACTACACACGCACAAATGAAGACACGAGTTTTATAATCATTTCACGTACAAACTGTCGTTAGTACTTTAGACGTCGAAAGTCATTAGGCGTCGTCGATTACCGATAAGACTTAATGCAAGTTATTGAAATGAAATGCAAACAAGGTGATGAACAGCGCGTAGACAACAAGAGGCTGAAACGTCCGCGGACTTCTTATCGCATTCGTCGTGCGAGATGCTACGCGTAAGATTCTCGTCGCGCTGTCGCATGCAGCACATTTTAGTTTAGTTCTTATCACAGGTACCGTGTCTATTGCAATTCGCGCACAAGGTCGCGTGGCATCGACGCACTGGCTTTGCGCATCTATTGCTTTTACCTGCCGGCTTTATGCAGCAGGCACAGGCTCTTATCGTGAACTGTCGCATTCTTGCGTGCGCAGTTTCGCATGCTCTATTGGTGGATTGCAGCTAGTTTCGTGCCGGTTTCTGGCGTGTCCAGACGTATATCGCGCAACGCGTTTTGGTTTATCAAACCTCTATTTCAATCGATTTAGTGGTAATATGTATCTGCAGTGTTTTTATAAGTAATTGTGCGTTGTGCTTGCTTTTGATGTTTATATTTCAAATTACAATGCTGCGGCTTTATTGTCGGTTATTGGGGGACGTGGTCGGTCGCCAGATCAATCGGAAACCTATTCGTGCTTGAGTAAGTTACTTTTATCTGACCATTGCGATACTCGACACAGAAAGTTTGTTTTCTCCCATGTGTGAATATAATATTATCATATTGCATGTAATGTTTTTGTTTTAACTTATGTTTTCTTTTAATTACAGTACTTGCCGTACTTTTACAATCCGAGGAGCGCTGTATTGGTAAGCTGCATTAAATTATTATATATTATTTTAAATTTCCATCTGATAGAGAATTTTCCAATCTTCCATAATCTCCAATTTTCTAGTTTTCTAGTTTCTAATAAGCAAAAATTGAAAAATGTCACTTTATAGCCTTTTAGTCATGTTTTACTATAGGAAATATAATTATTTTATATTTTCATCTGATAGAGAATTTTCCAATCTTTCATAATCAGCAATTTGTGGGTTGCTATCTCTTTTAGTTTAATAGATATTAATTTTTGAAAATCGTCAAAAAAAAGTATCAAGCACCCCCCCTTGGCGATTTTTTTCTTAAGACTTAAAATTTCATCTCTTAGATTTCGATTTTAACTAGCCTATCTTGTAGAGCTTGTTTCGAAGGTTAAGAGTCTGCGATTTGACCTTTCTATCTCTTTTAGTTTAGGAGATATTCACAATTGAAGAAAATGGCCAAAAATTGCAAAATGTCACTTTTTAGCACTTTTAGACGCGTTTTTCGACCTTTTACTGTAGGAAATATAATTATTTTATATTTGCGTCTGATAGAGAATTTTCCAATCTTTCATAATCAGCAATTTGTGGATTGCTATCTCTTTTAGTTTAAGAGAGATTAATTTTTGAAAATCGTCGAAAAAAAGAATCAAGCACCCCCCCTTGGCGATTTTTTTCTTATGACCCAAAATTTCATCTCTTAGATTTCGATTTTAACTAGCCTATCTTATAGAGAATGTTCCGTAGATTAAGAGTCTGCGATTTGATCTTTCTATCTCTTTTAGTTTACGAGATATTCAAAATTAAAGAAAATGGCCAAAAATTGCAAAATGTCACTTTTAGCACTTTTACTCGCGTTTTTCAACCCTTTACTGTAGGAAATATAATTATTTTATATTTTCATCTGATACAGAATTTTCCAATATTTCATAATCAGCAATTTGTGGGTTGCTATCTCTTTTAGTTTAAGAGATATTAATTTTGAAAATCCTCGAAAAAAGAATCAAGCACCCCTTGGCGATTTTTTTCTTAAGACTTAAAATTTCATCTCTTAGATTTCGATTTTAACTAGCCTATCTTGTAGAGCTTGTTTCGAAGGTTAAGAGTCTGCGATTTGACCTTTCTATCTCTTTTAGTTTAGGAGATATTCACAATTGAAGAAAATGGCAAAAATTGCAAAATGTCACTTTTAGCACTTTTACTCGCGTTTTTCAACCCTTTACTGTAGGAAATATAATTATTTTATATTTTCATCTGATTGAGAATTTTCCAATCTTTCATAATCAACAATTCGTTGGTAGCTATCCCGTTTAGTTTAAGAAATATTAATTTTTGAAAATGGTTGAAAAAAAGTATCAAGCACCCCCCCTTGGCAATTTTTTCTTAAGAATTAAAATTACATCTCTCAGATTTCCCTTTTAACTATCCTATCTGATAGAGATAGAGAATAGTCCGTAGATTAAGACGCTGCGACCAGATCTTATTTATCTCTTTTAGTTTACGAGATATTCGCGATTGAATAAAATGGGCAAAAATTGCAAAATGTCACTTTTAGCACTTTTACTCGCGTTTTTCAACCCTTTACTGTAGGAAATATAATTATTTTATATTTTCATCTGATTGAGAATTTTCCAATCTTTCATAATCAACAATTCGTTGGTAGCTATCCCGTTTAGTTTAAGAAATATTAATTTTTGAAAATGGTTGAAAAAGTATCAAGCACCCCTTGGCAATTTTTTCTTAAGAATTAAAATTACATCTCTCAGATTTCCTTTTAACTATCCTATCTGATAGAGATAGAGAATAGTCCGTAGATTAAGACGCTGCGACCAGATCTTATTTATCTCTTTTAGTTTACGAGATATTCGCGATTGAATAAAATGGGCAAAAATTGCAAAATGTCACTTTTAGCACTATTAGTCGCGTTTTTCGACCTTTTACTGTAGGAAATGTAATTATTTTATATTTTTATCTGATAGAGAACTTTCCAGTCTTTCATAATCAACAATTCGTTGGTAGCTATCTCGTTTAGTTTAAGAGATATTAATTATCAAAAATCATCGAAATAAAGTATCACGCAATTTCTTCTTTTAGATTCACATCTACCGCTCCTCTCGTACGGTACCTTGAACACGAGTCACCTACACCGCTACCCTCATACGGTGCCCTGAATACGAGTCCCTTCTACCGCTAGCTTCGTACGATGCCCTGAATGCGAGTCACATCTACCGCTGCCCTCATACGGAGTCTTGACCACGAGTCACATCTACCGCTGCCCTCGTACGGTGCCCTGAACGCGAGGCACTTGTACCACTACCTTCGTACGGTGCCTTGAATGGGTGTCTTTATGGATCCTGTAAGAATAATTAATTTAATGTATATATATGCATATTTCATTTACATAAATCTTTTCCAGTTGTTGGAGGAAGCATTGACTAATCCTGAGATAGCCAAGTTTATCGATAAGGACCAACTGGAGAGTTTCCGTGGTAGTGATTACTGAAGATGGATGTGTCAACTGGACTACAGTCCAAGAACGTATGTTATATTTTGACAATTTATAATATTTTAAATTTTACTAATCTGTTATTCATTCTGGTTTATAGTGTCCAAGAAAGAAGATTGGATTGCCGGTGTTGATGATGATTCCAATTACGATTGAATGAATTTACATCATTTAGAAACTGTTATTGATATCATTTTTGTTTATTTTGTTAAAAGTTATAAAAGTGCATTATATAATTGCATATTATTATCCTGTTTTCTTGCTTGTATTTTTAAAAATGCTGTATATACTGAGAAATTGAGTTTATGATGGGTGCATATTTTACATATTTGAATAAAATTGTAGTTTTATATTTTTAACTATAAATTTTTATCGTTTTATTTGTTCCAAACGGAGCAACATCGTTACTGCTTTAATTAATCCATAAATCCCTTAAACTTTAATGGAAATGCCACTGCTAGATATGGGAAATAATAAATAATTCAAAGTCAATTTGTATCAATATTAATTTAAAAAAGGTATCACTAGTGTCATCTATCCATGAGTAACTAAACTACGCCGCTATTCGAAATTACCTGTCCATTCACCAGCCTCCTGCACTTTCTGCGATCCTAATATTCAAAAGAATTTTGTTACCAATTTCACTGGATTTCTCGACAAAATTTGTCTTGTTCTTTTGTTCTATAAAATTGCAAATAAGGCCTTAGCAAAAAGTCACTAAAATCGATGTAGAATCAGAATCTATAAACAAAATTTTCTTAGCGTTGACAATTTTAATGAAAAGTTGTTTTTTATGCCAATAGGGCCTTAATCTATAATTATTTTACCAGTTTCCGATTCAGAATTTAATCTACTTTTAGAATCCGAAAACAGAATTTAAAAATTCCAATTATTACAGAAGTAGCATTTGCTGAAAAGATTTCGTCATAAAAAGGCAAAACATTTCTCTTTTTTATGTCGAATACAGTATTCATTCAAATTGCAAATAGGACCTAAACGGTTAACGTCAGCAAAAAATTTACTAAAATAATCGATCTAGAATTAAATAATCTATCAGAATCCAAAACAGAATTGAAAAATTCCAACTTTTAACTTTCAACATAAAAAGAGAAATCTTTTGCCTTTTTATAACAAAATCTTTTCTTTAAAAATTTTTGTGCCATTTTGATGATTTTTCAAATAGGATGCCATCTTGTAGAGATTTTTTCAAGGATCAAGAATATGTAGTTCTATTTTTTCTACTCCTTTTAGTTGTCGAGATAATTACCATTTAATCTTTTAAATTAGACTATTCCGACGGCATACACATGTTTCATTAAAATTACAATTTGGGCCTAAACGGTTAATGCTAGCAAAAAGTTACTTAAATAATCGATGTAGAATTAATTTGTCTATCAGAATCCAAAATCAGAATTTAAAAACTCCAACTTAAATTTTCAACATAAAAAGAGAAATCTTATTATCTAATTATCTCGAGAACTAAAAGAGCTAGAAAAAGAAGAACTTGATAATCTTGATCTTTGAAAAATTCTCTACAAGATGGCATCCTAGTTGAAAAATCATCAAAATGGCACAAAAAATTTTTAAAGAAAAGATTTTGTTATAAAAAAGGCAAAAGATTTCTCTTTTTTATGTCGAAAATTAAAAGTTGGAATTTTTAAATTCTGATTTCGGAATGTGATAGCTTGTTGAATTCTAATTAATTTATTTAAGAACAATTTTCCCCTATCACTGACCATTAAGGCCCTATTGACAATTTTAAAAACAAATTTGTCTTCTCGGTGATTTCAACAGAATATATTTTAAACAAACAGTTTGACCCTGTGTTTCGACGGAAAATAATTTTAAGAAATAGTTCGACCCTGTTTTTCGCGCCAAATTTAAACATTCATTTGAACTTTATTACGGCTAATTGCAAATTGCTCTTGTGAGAGAATTGCCCTGCAAGGACGAATCTGAAAACATTAAAATAGGTGGAAAACTATGCACAAAAGTTGTTTTCAATCTTTTTATTCCAGTAGCAACAACACATCATAGTTGTACCTCACTTTACAAACAAAATTTCCTTACTTCTAACTATAATAACAATTACCAATCAACTATATCTTCCACTATGTCGCCGGCGTCATTTGCAATTACCGGCTTTCCTCTCTCAAATTCGCTCGGTTTCTTTCCTCTGCCAGCCCGTTTTCCTCGCTTAGGGCGCGAATCTTTCTCCTCCTCACCATCATCTTCACTGTCACTAGGAAACAGCACAACTTTCCCATCGGAGTCAACATGTTTCCTCGGCTCTTTCGCGATCGTCGACGTCTTCTTAAGTTTGGGTAGATTATAATCGCCCACTTCCTCATTGTTGGTGGCCTGTTTGCTACGCTTAATATTGCGTACCTTATCCCAGCTCTCAAAGAAGGTACTTAGTGGCGTGCCGCTGTTTTTGATCTGCGTTTCAAACCCTTCGATTTTCTTCGCCTCGGCGAGGCTGCACGTGAGTTTCGCGCGCTCAGACTCGATGTGTGACACATTCGCGTCTATCTTCTCGAGTAATTGCTGCATCTTCCGCTGGTACTTCGCTACCGAACACTTTTTCAGGAAAACTTTGATCTAAACACATAAAAATTACATTAGATAACTGATATTGCACTGAGAACCATTTTATTTACCTGACACTTGGCGAATAAAGCCAAATCCGGGAATGCAATACTATGTGAATGCGCTGAGAGATATTCCAAGAGACAACCGTAGAGTGCGTCGATAATAGCATCCTTGAAACCGTTCTCCATCATTTGCGCCTTACCCATTCGCAAGACAGTCGTGAATGACAAAGGTTTCATCGAAACCTTCGTGTGTTTCTTGTTAAAGTCGAACGTGGTCAATACCTGCAATTACCAGCAATTTATACCACAAAACAAATTGAAAAAATAAATGTTATACAAACCTCAGTGAGAAAAGGAAGAACCGGGATGTATACGCCGCTGTCCCGACTCAAATCAATGAGAACCTGCACGAGGTGAAAGCGGAGTGGAAAATACGCCGCAGTAGGCACTAACTTCAACGTTCCCAAACACACCTGCACAAAGGGATAGATCAAACCCTGTACCTGCGGTTTTCCCGCCGCTTGACCCAGAAAGTTGCCCCACAACTTGCAGCTGTTAACAAACTGCCAGTTATAAACAATATGAAGATTCTCCTTTTTATTATCGACGATGGCATTGCGCAAATTAATCGCCAACTGCCGAATATAGAGAAACACGTGTTGATAGGCCGAAGCTGCATCCAAAGCGTAGATTTCTACTAATGAACGACGCATGAAGTTAATACTGGGTAGTGCGTTGACGCTGACAAACTTCGCGTTCTTCACATAAGCAATGTACATGGTTTTGAGCACGTAATCCAGCAAAGACTCACGCTGCAAGTTCACCAGCCTCAGGATACACAGAAAGGCGACAACACGCACAGATTCATCGCTAGCGCTCGCCCAGAGCGCGATTAATTTCTTCACGATCGCCTTTCCGCAGCTAGGAAAAGATATCAAAATAGAAGACATGTAATGAAGATGTTTAAGCAACACGTTGAGAATGTTGCCACTGGTCACATTGCTCAGCAAATCATGCAGATCGGTGAAATACTGTTTCATCGCCGTTTTTATCTTTGTGAAGCGTTTGCTTTTGTGCGCTTGTTGACTTTTCTTCAGCTGGAGAAAACTGCGCACCGCCGGGCCGAGATACAGCACACATAGTTGTACAACTCCATTAAACACAGCAGAGCCTTTAACTATGTAAGCACCATTGCGTTCCGCGTCCGGGGAAACGCTGCGCAATGCGGCGTTGAATGCCTTTGCAACCATAACAATGGTTTTGTTGTTTTTCTGTGGTTGTTGCAGTTCCTGTTGCCAAGCTTTAATCATTTTTAAAGTAATTTGTTTATTAGAAGATGCTTCTCCATCCTCATCTTCAAAATCACTCTCATCACTGGCAACTTCAAGCTCACCAGGCTGATGAACTTCATCTTCTTCCTCTTTTTCAGCATCTGAATCACCTTCAGAGTCAGACACATTAAACTGCAGCAGTTTTTTGTCATTATCTTGCAAGAACTTGTAGAATTCTGGGTCAGTTTCTTTCAGGCGTTCTAAAGCAGCCTGGTGGTCATGTACTTCATCACCAGAATCAGATCCTTCATTGTCTGATTGATCATTTTGGGTGTCGATGTTGTCAACTTCATCAACTTCTGAAGCAACATCATTATTTTCTGTGTCCGTAATCATGTCTTCTTCTTGCTCGGAGAGCTCATGATCTTCTATTTCCTATTAAATTATACAAACAACTTAGTTTAGTTGTGGAATAGACACGAAAAAAACTAAGAATGCTTACTTTGTGTTGTTTCTTTATGTTTTTGAGGCCTTTGGTAATTTTGGCTTGTGATGTACCGCTGGGTTTAACTTTCTTAAATGTTTTTATTTTAGGTTTCTTTATTTTACTTTTCATCGTGGTTTTCTTTGCTAGTTTGCCCATTTTACACAATTTCTCGCGTGTTTTTGAACGTCGGAATACAACCGCACGTGCGTTTGTTAATTTAGGTTAGAACAGCTTATGTAAAGCTAACTCGCCACAAAACACATTCAAATCAAAGCGTATATAAAGCTGTCCTTCACTCAGATAGGCAACAAAACGACAACTTTTCCACCTTATTAAATTAAAATACAACGAAACTGTTTATTTTAGAAGGTTCTTTAATATGTACACATTGAACAGATAACAGATACAGTATTTTACATCCAGATGTGTATACCGTTCTATACAAATGTCTTTTCCAATTTGCGTTTAATAGAATCACGTTAAATATGAACAAGAGGCAGGAATAAATTAGGTCAATCCTAAATGTCCTAAAAGCAGCAGAAAGGTAAGTTTCATACCCAATATTTTAAGATATGTACATTATTATCATATACAAATGTTGCGGTGGAAAGATGTGTGTGTAACAATTGCTTAATTTCTTAATTGCCATCAGTTTGGCATTATTTAATAGTTCCACACATAACAAGAATAATTTAATAATTGATATGTTAGTGCTACAAATACTTCGGTTACAGATTCATGATGAAGAATCGTGCAAATGACTTATTCAGTGCCGTAGAGGAACTACACGTGAGCATATAATTGCTTATCGTAAGTAAAATTGTAAACAAATATCGCTAATAACCATAAATATACATTTTAGATTCTCAACTCAAGCAACTTCAAACAATTTCGAGTGCAATTTTCTCAATTGAACTAATCTCCATCACAACGAAACAATTTGCGATCGCAATGGTCGAATGCAATCAAGTCCAACATTCCACTGTCTGTTACTTGCCGAGACAGATGCAATAATCAAATGTTCGACGAAATTAATTCCCAATTTCCTACGCGGAGAAGAAAAAACTCCAGGAGAGCAGGGTTTCAGGGTGTGATATTTACGAAGAGTTCGATTAATTCGGCGCTCAAGTGAATGTGATTGTGAAGCAACGCAGAGCAGTCAACACAGCGGCGGCGAAAAACGGCAGCGTTGTTATTCGTGGAGGCGGCGAAGTGGATGACAAACCGCATTCACTCGCGCCGTACTCGGAGCAGTGCATCTACAATTAGAAATCGAAAATCTCGCATCACAAAAGCGTAATCCGCGCTTTGTCTGCGCGTAAATTATGACATCTGTGAAACCAAAAGTACGCGTAATAGCATTACCGGTGCTCGCAAAGAAAATCCACGTCTTTGAAATTGTTCAAAAACTACCGGAAGACAGGACGCGAAAAGGGGGTTCATCGGAAAGCTGCTTAAAATACATACAGAGCGTTTAATAAATAATAAACACATTAAACATTCACGAATCGCATTTTCGGATGGGCGGCGCGAAGCGTCGAACATTCTAATTAAATTGCATCATGCGGGTTAAACGTCCGTCTCGCCCTGTCTACGCCCGCGAGCGAGCAGATGAATAAAATCTACGATCGTACGACTGCAAACGCGAAATATTCGCATCTCCGGTTTTATTGCATTCGGCGCGCTGTTGTGTAATTGAAATAATTAAATTTGTAGCATGCGATAGGAAAGAGCATTAAGAGGCTTAAATGTATTAAAGCGGCGCTCGGGGGCGGCAGGAAAGCAGACGGGAAGACGGGAAACCTTCGCTAATGAAAGGTATCAAGCAAGAAACGAGGCGATCGCGCCGAATTGGATTAGGTTGGAGATGGTATCGGCAAGCGCGCGAGGTCAGAGCGATGCAAATACGCACGATGCACATTCGGGGGGCGACAATTTCTTGTGCGGCGGCGAATTGCACACGAGGTAATAACTTGCCACTTCGACAATGGGACGATAAACATCACTATAAACGGTACTGTTGCCTATTCAGTCACGTTTAACAACAGTTTCCGCACATAAATTCAAAACCGCGCGCGTTTTATTCCCTTAAATCAGTTATTGTGTTAACTGTCTGAAATTTCAGATCCGTCTCATCCGTTTTTGGAGGCGGGCGGTGACAAAACACAACACACAAAACACGCCCGCAGCAAGCGTAAAATCGATCAAAGTATTGATGACACTAATTAATCATCTGGCCCGCCAGTGCATCCGCCGAGAATTAAATAGAGCGAAAACTTGTAAATCTTGATGGATTTGTTAAAACGTCGGGACACACACTCGGGGATTATCGCTTTAATAAATGAAAAGATTAGCCGACACTTAATTGGCGCGGGGGACGCCGGCGCGCCGCTAATTAATCGATTGTTGTTGCGCCGCGACGGGGGCGGGTTGTGTGTAGTCGCCTTACCTTGATCATCGACGACGACATGCGATCGAGGAAGTTGCGGCTGAACTCGGCTGCATCGGGGCCGCACGCCCGCCGGGTTGTGTGTGTCGAGCACTGGACGTATTCCTGAAAGGTACTGACGAACAGAATGGAAGGTATTAGTTTACTTTCCGAGTTGCCAAAGGACGCGCGGCTTACCAACAGACGTTTTTGACTCCTTCGTCGGCGGTTTCTCGCTTTCTCCGGCGGTGGTAGGCGCGCAGGGCGTCCGCGATGGTAACACTATCACGGTTTTGATGTCGCCCCTGCTGGTGCTCCTGAATTTCCGGCTGTTCTTCCTCAGGTTGCGGCTGCGGAGGATTATTTTGAATTTCTTTCATCGCTGTGGCGTACCGATCGAAACAAACTTGATTCTCATCCGCCACTTGCATCATACAAGGTACATACTTCAAATATTCTGAAAAATAAAACAAAAGAAATGATTTTTACCTATTTTGTTGTTTGTGAAGATAAAAATCTCGTGATGAGACTTCGTGGATGTTAACACAGCGCATAAAATTGTTGCCGAAATATCAGCGTTCTAAAGGGGAATCCGAATGGTAAATTGTAAATATTATTCAGCGGCGGCGGGCGAACAGTAGGCGGCTGTATGGACTCATAACACATTATTAACTCGGCCGCGGCTCGGAGAAATGAGCGAATATATCACCTCGCGGCCGATGTGCACACACTTACGCCGCCGCCCCCGTTTTACGATGATAGAGTAACTTTTTCGGGCGAAATAATGTCGCCGCCCCGCACGAAACGTCGCGCCGCGTAATAAAAAATATAAATTTGCATACTCGAATAGGTCGTTCGCGGGCGTAATTTATAAACATAATATATTTGCGTGCACGCTTTCGAATAAACACACAGCTGCCGCCTCCTCGAGGTGGAGGCGGCGCGCACCCACGCGCGAGCTATAATCGCCGTATTGCACTCTCTTTTCGTGCAATTTTTACATCGAAAATCACGAGTATCGAGCTTCCTTTGCCATCAGGAGTATTAACAGTTATTATTTTTATTCTCCGCATCAAAATGAAAAATAAAAAAAAGCATGAAATTTTCCGCGCGAGTGAAAATTTCACGATGAAATGCAAACATTGGGCAAACGCTGCAGAAAAAGCTAATTCATAACAATTTGCTTGTTGTCGCTTCGCGTGTGCCGGGCAGCTTTTCTTTGCAGGTGCAAACTCGCTTACCTTCTTGATACGTTGAATTATCGCAGAGCTCGTGCACCGTGGCGCCGGTGCCGTGGAAAAGCTGCTTGAAGTGCTTGCGATGATGCATGTTCATGCACATCCGCGTGTACGAATGAATGCATTTGAGCGCGTCCTTCAGGTCTCTGCAAACGTTTTTTATTTCGTTAATGCGCTCGCCAAACAACACGGGCATCCGCAACACTCGACTGCAGGGGGTGGACAACGCGCGGGATGGCGGCGGTGGTGGGAACATGACAAACGATCTGCGTGGTGTGGTTGTCGCATGAGCAGACAACTCGAGATTTGACCACGATCGTTATAGTCGGGGATGAGTTATTTTTCGCTCGGTTGACATGCATGAACTCGACTTGCAAGGGTGAACAGCGGCGTCTTCGGGGGCACGCAAATGAATAATTTATTTGGGGGACGTAGGTGGAGGTGTCCGGCCGCGCCAACGCGTCGATTACTCACGGACAGATCTTCTCCAAATCCGTGCGGCTCGCGACGAAAGTTAACCCCGACTCGGTGATGAAGGAGAGAGGTCGCGCACACTGGACGAGCTGCTCGTGTCCACAATTGTGCCCGCAGACGACTCTTCTGCTTATCACTGCAATCAATTACGAATTTATTAATAAATCATTCATAAAAAGAAAAATTAAAAAAAAAATTACTCAACTTAGGTTAGGTTCGGTGATAGATGAGGTTATGTATGTAAAATTTGACAGTTAACCTAAATTAAGCGCTTGTTGACTTTGAAAAACTGTAATTATCTGCAACAATGCATGTTTCATGATTTAACAGATTAACTTTTAATGTCATATGCTGCCGGCAGCAATGAAACAGTAGATTTGTTAGCCCTCCCGAATAAGACGGGTTATTAACGACCCGTGGAGCGATTACTTTCGGGGGCGGCGGTGCGAAAATATGCGCGCCAGGGCGGGTTCGCGTAATTTTTACAATTCGCACTCAAATCCGCAATTTATTTCGCGTTGCAGCGCGCGCGCGACGTGGAAATATTACAATTTACATAGTTTCGTACTTCCGGCGACGGCAGCAGCGGCGGCGGCGAAAGTTGCGGGCGGACGCGAAAATTAAGGCGAAATGGAAACGCGCGTATTGCGCGCGCGGCGCGCGAAAGCCACCTAGTAAGTAAAGCCAACACAAAGATAATAGATAAAGTTTGGTGACGAATTGTACTTTAATTCGCCGACTGCGGGGGCGGCTGCGGCCCCAGCGAGTGGCAATTTTCTTTTCTTCATTTTCCTCCTGGTCTCACTAATATTTTTATGTTTTTATTATTTTAATTTCGCTCGCAAATTGAAGATTTTCACCTAAACCTGGTCGCCTGCCTGCCTGCCGGGAGAAGAGGAAAAACCGAGAAAAGCTGGCTTTTGTAATGTGGAAAAGTTTTTCATCCGCAGAAACTAAAAAATCGACGTGGGTAGTTTTCGGAAAAGATCTGCATCGAACGGCAAGCCAGCCACCGGGACACATTTTATTTTATTTTCTCGCTGGCTGGCGTTGAAGATTTACAAGGAAAATTATATAACAATGCAATTTCCACGCGTTTTCCTCGCCGGGAGTCAACCGTTCTTTTCCGAACGCGGATTGTTTTTCTCGCTTTGCTTCCGACTGCGATTTGCATTTAACGAGCTGAGATTACATTCGTAGTTTTTCACGCTTTCGCTGCGCGAACTTTATCGGCGAGATAATTAAGTGCGAAAAGCAGCCGGAGAAGCACGGCGGCGGCGGCGGCGGCGCGTACTGACGAATGATTGCGTTACACCTTTCAGCAGCGCACAGATTACATTAAACCGAGACGGCGGGCGCGCGCGAACTTTCGGCCGCCCGCGCACCCACCGTGCGACACTTCATTCCTCAGCGTCTATCTTGATTTTCGGCGACGGCGGCGGCGGCAGCGGCGCGACTAACTTTGCGACCTCGCGGCCCGCTCGCGTAATTGCGCTTTCTTCTCGATTCTTTCCCGGCACTCTCGTGGATTCGCAGCACGTGCGCTTTTTATTTCGCGCGCCATGGCGGCGGCGGCGGTGCTAAATAAACGCCGCAATGACAATAAGTTCGACAGTTACTAATTGTTAATTGGATTTGGCCGCGTATCGTCGAAGTTTGCGACGGGAATGGCGCGAGCGTTACGGCGCAAATGCAATTTGAGGTGGCGGTGATTTGACAACGCGCCGCCCCCCGCGCCAAAACGTATCAATTTCCAATCGGTTTCAATCAGCCGCGTTTTGCGTGATTCAATATGTCAAAAACGTAAAAAATGTGCGACAATCAAACATGCCCGATAGCTAACCACTCAACTTGCCGCACGCCCGCCCCCGGAATGATATGTATCTGTATTTGACCTGTATCTACCTGGTGGCTAATCCCCGGTGCGAAAACAGCGCTCTTAAAACATATCAATTTCCAATCAGTTTCAATCAGTTATCGCGCGGATCGCGTGACTTGCGCCAGCCCCGGGGGCGGCGAGGAGGTATAAGTGATCCGCACGACAAGAATACGTCGTGGCGGTCGTTAGCGGATGGGATGGATAAATGGATAAAAGCTTTTCCGATGTGTCGCGCGACACGCGCTCTCACTCGGACGCACGTCGCGCCGCCCCTCTAAGTGCTCACATAAATTTGGCGTCTTTCGTGCGGGCCGGTCCGGCGCCTAATTTAATTTAACGCATCTACGGCCGGGACGCTAAAACAACATGATAGGACAACCGGCCGGGCGATAACTGAATTATTTAGACCGTTTTTCTGCGCGGTGGCGGTTTTTATATAGTGCAAAACCGCCGCCATCAAAATTTCACACAAATATTGCAATTCATCACTTGAAATAACCGGAAAAAAAAACGAAGAAAAAAATACAACATCTGATTATGCTGTTTTGACATGTCAAATTGCAATTACCGCCGGCGGGCGTACAAAAGGCGCGCGATAATTACGCGCGCCGCCTCCGCGATCTCGTTATGATCACGCTTACCAATTTCGCGACTGGTAGCGAGCGGCGAGACGCACTCCGGCGCCTAATTGCTGTTTATGTCCGCGCGACGTGCGCTCTACCTATGCTCGCGCTTCGCCGCCCCTCTTGTTGCGGCAGGACGATGACGCCGCCGCCACTACGCTCACGCCAGCTCACGGTAGATCGTGCATTACATTGTTACACGTTGTGCTACTCCGCTTTATGATCACGAGTCAGCGGCGGCCACCTGTGCAATACCTACACCGCCGCCGCCGCTACCGCTCTGTCGTCTTTTTTTAAATTAAATTAGCGCGAATTATGAGCAGCGAATGTAGCACATGGGTCGGCCGGAGGAAGACCCGCAAGTTTTCCCGGATTAATAAAATATTGAGGAAGATAATTCGAGAATTCCAGCAGAAAACTTTCGTTGGAAACGCCGTAAATATTTTTATCTCGAGTTGTATCATGGAAGATATTTTTGAAAAATGATTTCGGAGCGTTTCTTAAATGTCTATTGGCAAACAACACGAGTTAACCAAGCGCGATGAAATTGCTTATCGAAATCGTCTTCTTCCGCTTGAAATGCTAATCGACAACGGCAACAGGACAACATTAAGGACTTCATTAATAATCCTGAATGCACGATAATGACACTATCTAAATTTTACCCGGATTTAATAAGAAATAATACTTAATATACAAATTTTCTACTTCCACCTTTAAAGCGCCTGTTTTTCCACGGTTTTGAGGCACAAAGTACTTTAGTCACTGGTTTTAGTCACGGGGAGGAGCTTGCCCCTGAGCATTAGCCTACGGCAAACATTTTTTACTATTGTGCAAGCGAATTTCGATAATTTAAAATACAAAAATTCAAATACAAAAATTTCAACGTGGAAATAAAGTGAAAGTAGAAAAAATAACATAAGCATCACGTGGCTAAACGTTGTAATACACTCGATTAATTAAACGCTTCCTACACTCACTCTTAATCAATCTCGTAACTAAAACTCTGGTTTTTTAGATACAATTTGATACAAAAATGGTACTTTAATCACGGAGGGTCAAGACCGTGACTAAGGAACTTTAGTTACGGGGAGGAGCTAGCGCCTGCGCATTTACCTACGGTGCAGCACAAAACCATGTAAAATACCATACGCCGTCAATCAAACAAATGTAAAAAGTGTCCGAGATGTCAAACTTTATAACAAAAAACGAAAAAATCGCAGTTTGTGGTGTTTTAAAAGTTATGTGACAAATATCACAACAACATGCATTAACGCCGCTTCTAATCGATGTAATAAACTTCAAAACAAGTTAGAGTTGTCCAAGTTACGACTACAATTGTTTGATTTTACGAATTCCCCGCAACAAAACAAATTTTCTATTTTTATATATATAAAAAAAGCCGTAAATGACATTGCATCATGCATGATACAATTTATTTTTGTTGTTAATTTTTTAGTTATTAAAAAAATCGCACACAATATTGTTAGCAAAAATATTGGATGAGCGCAAATTTAATTAAAACATTTTCAGATTAAACCAACATCAAATTTCAGTGAACGAGCAATATTCGATGCTTTTAAAATGCGCAAAGCGTAGAAAATTAACCTCAAACAGAAAATAGTAGAACATTCACTCGTAGATCCCGACCCATAATTAAATCCAACATTAATTAAACGACTTTTCAGCGCGCGCGCGTGCGAAAAAAAACTTTGAGGCGCGCCGGCGGCGTGCGGCGTTTGTTCACCTGTCTGCACTGCATTTTTCCACATACTCTCAACTCAGAGAGAGAGTTCGCTTATTAATTAGCGCACTCGTTGCGCCGTCTTCAAGATGCCACCCTCCGGGCGAAAAAATCCGCCCGCGCGCGTCTCGTCCGAAAAGTTGTCGAGCGCACGTGAAATATCAACTAATTAATTTCAGCACTTTATGTGTGTGTGTGTATGCGTGTAGGTGTACGTTTTTCGCCGCCCCCGCTGGACATTTCCATGCATTAACTCGCGCAACCTTTGCGAACTTTCCGAGCACATTTTAATTCGCGTAATCTGGAATATACTAAATGCGACTAATTAAAATAACTACTTAGAGGTGCATCAAGAATTCGCCGCCGTCAAAAGCGCAAAATTGAAATTCCAAAGGCACGAACAATGCGCATCGCACGTCACGCACCTACCTGACAACTACGAATGGATGCGCTTCTTTCGACCACCCACCCCCGGCGCATGAATATTTCATGTTTGCTTTATTTACACTGACATTAACTTTCGTGTCAGTATGCGCTTCTTAGTTTTGAGAAAACAAGCCAGCCGGTATTGTGTGCTTTGGCCGGCTAGTGATACAGGAAAAATAATACCAAAGTAATGGAAAAATCGAATGTAAACAACATTTGAAACTGATTTATTTGGGTGCGTGAGGCCGGCGCCGAGTTTCGGGCCTGATATTAATGTAGCCCGCCTCAACATTTTTACGTGAATATTAATTTCCCGCACGACATTTGAGGGATGTGCAAACATCGAGCATGTTCATGTTTTCATTTATATTTTCCGCGGACGGAAACATATTAAATATGTTCCATTACGGCCGGAAAACGCGCCGGATCGCAAAGTGGTTTTTAGTTTATTGCGAGTCGACGGTCGGCGCAAATTTTTCGATATTAGTTAGTTTAACGCATTTTTTGCGAACATTTTTTTAATCGCTGAAGATTTAAACTTGCGCATGCGCAATAAAATCTTTTTTTTTTTCATTGCATCCATCGATTACCATCAAGATTTTTATGATTTTTGCGAGTAAAACACAAAATTTTGTCATAAAACTCCTAATGTTATGTGCGTTAGCATAATGCGTGCGCGAAATACGTGCGGAGGTGGTAAATTAGCGCGCAAGATCTCACCGCCAAGGGGGCACGCTTTGCCGCCCCCGTGTGCATCGCGTTATCGACGCTAGACAATGCCGCTCGCGGCGTGAGCGCCGCCAATTAAAACGCGCGTTTCATTAACGTGGCTGGAAAAACAAGATTTTCCTTTTAATCCGTTCGCGCGTTTGTGCCATTAGTGCAACTATCATTCGCAATAATTAAGCGTCCGGGGGGTAGGTAGCTGTAAAAATTTACTATTATTAAACGGACTATTTATATCGCAAAATATAAAATCGATAGCCGGATGCCGGGGCGAATGCACGCGGAAACCTCAAAACGCTAATACGGGGGCAGCTGGGCGGCTAATGCACCGCTGGCGGCCGGCAGGTGCATACATACGCGACGCGCGCGCGGGCGGGCAGAGGTGGGCGGCCAACCCCCCCGCGTGCGCATAATTTAAGTTTTTATTGTGAAAGCTGTTTCACGAGGAATTGACGCGCGTAAACGATCGGAATGTTTGGTTACGTGCAAGGCGGCATCGGAATTCTTTTACTTTAAAAGCAATTTTATGTTTTTTTTTTGCTGTGTGTTTCATACGCCGCTGTCATTCGCATTTTATTCCGCGTCATTCGCCCGTTTGTACCAACGAGCTAGGGCGCTTGTTTTCTCACCTAACAAGCGCCGCCGCCCGTCACGCCGCTGTCGCAAGGCGCCTGCCGAGATTTACTTTTTCATTACGTCGCCCCGCTTGTTTTTGTTTCTGTTGTGCGACCACTCAAAGGTTTACCGCCGCGCAAAGGAAAACATTGAAAAATCATTTCTGACAAGTTTCGCGTCGTGACCGCCGCCGCCGGTGCGTGTGCACGCGGCAACTTTGCGCTGAGATCGCTGGATTTATGCTTCTTCTTAATGCAATAATTCTTCCGGCGCGGATATACGCCGAGGACCGACCATAAAGGGAGTGATAAATATTATTAAACGTAATTAACACTTCTGCGCACCCTACGCCGCCCCCAGCCGCTGCTCGGACTTCGGACGTGGTTGATGGGCCTCTCGAGAATATTAGGCGAGCAAAAGGCGAAAGGGTTAAGTCTCTCTGAGGAGGTGGATTGTCGAGAGCCCAGCGCAAGACGCAAGACTGCATACAAGGTGACACAGAAAAATTTTCAACCTTGAAATATAAAAATAACACGAAATATCCACCCAAAAAAAAATTTGAATATTTCAACGTAAAAATCCGTAGATTATCAGTTGAAGGATGTCAAAAATCTGACGCGTGCTAAGTCACCCTCCGAATGCAAAATTGGTGTCAGAGTCAGAGACATGTAAGGACCTCGTTATGCCAGGGCGCGTAACGAGCATTCAAATTCGGCGGGCCGGCCGTGTACCCCGGTGTTCCCGTGACAACCTGTAGGCGGCTCCGCAGGCGCCCGAGATGCGAAGTTGTAAGTCGGCGCGCGGTTGGTAACTTGGTCATAAGTTAAGTCCCAGCGCAACATTCGGAGAATCAAGCGTAGAAACGAAACTTGGCGCGGCGGCGGCGGCGGCAGTGGCGGCGCGCTGGGGCGGCGAGACAGTAAAGACTTTAATTGTTGAAAACCACATATGAAAATATAGAGTGCTTCGGAGTGCGAAAGGGACGGGGCTTTAATGGGCATTGTGCTAATTTGGCGAAAGACATTCAACTGTTATTAGCGTCAACCGTGCGCGCTCGCGGCCGCCGGGCGGCTTCCCCATCGCCGCTCTCGCTCGCCCCCGAATAAAGAAGCCGCCGCTCGTATTGAAGCTTATTTATATGTTCGCGTGCATATTGTCCTCGAAAATTTTACTTTGCCCATTTCAGAAATGCTAAATACAATGCGAAACTCTTGTTCCGACGCGTTATTCTACCGCTGCGAAACTTTGCGCCGCCCACACACACACACACAAACAACGCAAACAAAAACGATTAAAGTTTTTGCAAACAGGCGGGGATTGAAAAAAATAAAACGTTTAGCGAAAAGTGTTCTTTACTTACATGTTATCAGCAAAGCCGAGATCACAGTATGCACAATACTCATAATTTCATGCCGCGTGGAACTGCTCGCATGCGGAAAAGTTTTGCGTAAACACGTGGACGGCGGCGGCGGCGGCGGCGGCGGCAGCAGTATACGAGCGTCTGCGTCGCGCCGCGACGGCGAGCTGGACGAGAATGATCGCCGCGCGGCACGCCGAACAACCGACCGCACGCGCCCGCCCCACTCTACCAGCCCCGACACTCTTCTCTTGTTTACGCGCTTGTTTTTTGCGCCTCCTCAGCGCCGCTGGACGTGATTGTTCATACCTGCCGCTTCATTACACATCCAAGACACTCCTAATCAACCGTGATAGGTATGCATCAGATTGTCCTGCATCAAATTAAATTTTACTTCTGGGTAAACTTTTCAGTATGCGCCGCACGCCCGCCTTGCGAAAGGGTTATTTACTCGCGAGCAGCAATAAAAATCCTCTCCAGCTGCTGCTTCCCGGTTGTTGACTCGGCGGCGGTGATTGTCGCCGGAGCGCATTGAATACCCGCCGACAGACAATCATTTCTTTTGACTCTGCGCACGTTTTGTTCTCGGCGGAACTCTTGGAGATTAATATAAACATTCCGCCGCCGTTGCCGCAAACTTTCGAATATGAAATTTAATCTTTGGAGCGGTTTTTACCGGACGGACGCATGTTTCGGCGAAGCAATTGAAATTTATTCATACGTTTCATGCATTTATTCATGCGTTTGTTTCGTCGCTATCGGTTTCCACCCCAAGGAAAGCCTGTTATGATATTTGTTTGAATTTTCCGCGTTTTTTTTTTGCATCAAATTGTATTGAAATTAAACAATTTCTATGAATTGTTTGTTTCAATTTGTTGCTGAACTACTTTTAGGTGAGTACGTAATGAAAAGGGTTTTCTTTGGCGCAGTGCACCGGTGACGGCGACGGTGGCGTGCTCATGATTACCAACAATTTCTATTTCGTCGAATGATCGACCACGAAAATAAAAACTTAATTCCCTTCTTGTTTCGCTTGCGCCAAGGCGGGGGCGCGTTCTCCCGCTCGGGCGCACAACCGGCCGGCGGCGAGGGCGGCGTGTGTGCGCGGTCGTGCGCTTCTTTACTGCTCGCTTTTTTCGTCGTTGATGTTGTTGTTGAGTTTTGTGTTGTTTTGCGGCTTTTTTCGCGTGCCGCGCGCAATTACGACTTGTCGTGTTGGTCGTCACACGGCGACACACCAATTGAATCGTGTACGCAAATTTGGAGGCGGCGATGAAGAGTTTCAGTCATGTTTTGCGACTAATTACACAAACTTTGTACTTGTTGTTGAAATTATTTTTTATTTGTAAATAATCACACTCGTGGTGTGAAAAGTGTGCGATGCGCATGCGTACTAGCGCTGAGTGTAGGTTAATTCACCTATATGTGTTGGCTGCGCGCTCGATTTATGTTTCTATTGCATTTGAAGACGCTGCAAGCCAGTGGGCGATCGTAAAATTGCATCGCCGAGAAGCAGAACCAAGAACAATTCCGTTTTCTGCAACATTTCATTTCATTTCCTATTTAATATGTGTTTGTAAAGTTTTATTGCGCTGTTCGGCGAAGGCGGAAGACGAAGGCGTGCGCGGGGGCAGCGTGCGGACGACGGAAAGTTTTCGGCTCGTCGGCGGGGACGCATCGATGCGAGCCCAGAAACAACAATCGGAATCGCGGCAAGCTCTGCACTCTGTGCAATACAACCACCACCACCACTACAATCGCTGGAGGCGGCGGCAGCGCGGCGAAAGTCACCACAAGCCGCAGGAAAAGTGAAAAGTTCCGCGAACGAAATATGAATAGCAAGAAGGCAAACAATAATAGATTGCCAAGGGACACGCGGAGACAATAAAAGTTGGCGGCGGGTCGCGTGTCGCGCGGATCACAACCGAACGCGCGCTGTCTCATACCCCCACACAACCACTGCCGCCGCCCCCAGCCGCCTACGGCCATACATTAATTTGAGCGCGCGCCGTCAAATCGCCGCCAAATCCATAAATAATATTCGGATGCGGCGCATATACTTCACTCAAGTACCAATGTAATAATTCACCACCGCGGGCAAATTGCACACGCATTTCCGGCCACACCCTGTATTAATGCACTCGTTTGGTCTTTCGAGATTACAAATTATGACCAATATGGCGAACAACAACAATGACCATTACGCGCACAAATGAAGTTTAATAAATGGAAACATAATACGCGAAAAGATTTCCGCTACCCCCACCCCTCTGACAAAACTGCTCGGCTGCAGTTGTACGCGTATCATCTGAATATAATTTATGTCGCTTGTAAGAAGACAAGCACGCGCGCGCATTTCGCGAAACAAATCCGTCCCGGCAAGGATTTGCGTTTTTCCCCGCCGCCGCCGCCGCCGCCGCTGTCGCGACGCGCTGCCAGCCAACGATACGATAATCTAGTAAAGCCTCTTCCGGCAATTACATCCGTCCGACAATCACGCGGTTAATGAGGCGCGCGCGACGCTGACAATTTCTATTTACGGCGCCTACCGCCGCCGGCTGACAACTTAAAACTTGATATGAAGTTGATATGATGTCACGCGCACATCGGGGGATGTCGTTTAACTCTTTCCCCGTCTCGTGCGAGATTAAAATTGCATTCGGAGGCGGCGTGAAGCCCGCAGATGTTTCCACTTACGCGCGACATCTCGTAATATGTTGTTCTTTGTGCGTTCGCCCTAATTCACTAAGCCGAACGATCAAAGAAAAACCACCCGGCGGAGACACAACGTCGTTTTGCTTTGCAGCGTCATTCGAGGGGTGGGGGGAGGGTATTCATATCGAGGGACAAAGCCCGCGCGCGCAATCTTTCCGCGAGTTGATAAATTCGTGTTTTATTGCGCGCAGATGTGGATTTAATCTATTTGGCGAGCGTAATTAGCATGTTTAGCGTACTAGCACCGCAATTACACCGATCGCTAATTGTCAATTGGCATTTATTCGGCGTGGCATTGCCAGTTTTGGGGTGGTTACATGACAATAGATTTCTTTTAGTGGAAGCGATGCGCTGCCGGCGTGCAAATTAGCGACATGATGTGCACTATGATAATTAAAGTATCGAACAATACGCGGTGATTACCGTTTTGCGTGTGGACGCTTTGTATAGGCTAAAAACCGCCCCCAACGAATAAAATCTTATCGTAGAAAAATATGTTTTCTACTCCGCGGTATTTTCATTCAAAAAACAGCGAAAAACGTGATTTTTATACGTCAGATTAGGTTAGGATAAATATTATAATATAGGTTATGTTTTACACGAGTGTTTAGCATTGTAAAATGCGTTTATGAGGTTTGCGGCAGGCAATTTCACATGATGCGAGACGGGTTGCGGACTTATTGCGCACGCTGGCCGACGAAATCGTCCTGTAACAAATCGGGCTGTTCGAGGACGTGAAACGCGCATCGCGGATGATTTCTGGCTCGTTGGGCTTTCCGCCCCTTTGCGAGCGAGGCGGAAACCGCCACGAATCCGTTTGCGAACGGAAATCAAAGCACATCCGAAGCGCGCGCCCCGAGAATCTACGAAAAAATTGAATATTTATTCGATTTCTTTACGCTCGCGTAGTCCTGCGTGCCGCCACCGCCACCACCCCTACAAGGGACGCCGGATTTTGTTTCGTTTAGTTTTTACCGATTGCAATAGAGTAAACGCCAGTGAAAACTGCGACACAATTCATCACAATTGTCAATTATTTCAAAAACAAAACGTTTTTTTTTTTGTTTTGTTTTGAAAATAAAAAAATGAAATGAAAAAGCACAAGGCTTACCTCGCCGTCGCACGCAACCACTAATTGATTACAACGCTCAAATATTTATTCAATCAATCATGGCCGACATCATCAACGCGCTCGCGATTTATTTCGGTTTCATTTGTTTGCACTTTTATTTAGCGTCGCGACGCATTAACGCGCGCGCACACGACAATTGGCACTCATCAAATATGAATGAAGCGAATGAATAATTACGCCGATTTGCAACAAGCGAAATCAATTTGATTGGATAAATAATTAAAAATAAACGTAAACTTCATGTGCGCCAATTTGTTCCAGCAACTTGACCAGCAGACGTGTGAAATTCTTAATGTCCTAGACACACATCTGCTTCAAAAAGGGATGAAATATTACTCTTAGTCGTTTGGGGTTATTTATTAGTTAGTTTTTTTCGCATTGTCCGGCCAGTAATTGAAATAATGCGTCGGCCACAAAATATAAATCCCGATTGCCGCCCGGACAAGACACGCACATATCGGCGCCCGGCAATGGACATGCACAGCGCGTGTAAACTTTTCAATTGGCGTTTAAATCCCCCGGTCACTCGCCGCCGCCGCCGCCGCCGCACGCGTTTATCTCCGGTTTATCTGGACGAGTAATTCGATCATAATATGCATTATGAACGCATTAATTGCGCGCGATTGTAATATGATAATGGTGATTAATATTTTAATGCCATAATCGATATAATCCAATTAATTAATTACCGAAATGTGTAATATAAACTATGCTTGGCGGCGGCGCTGTGCAGCCTACTATCGATCGCACGCTTCTTATCAAGCAATTCAAGCAGTGTCAACGGTATTATTATAAACGCATTTTAATCGCCCCGCCGAACAAACAAAGTTATGTTATGTGTTCGCAAAGTTGCGATTTGGTCAAGGCAGCGCAGAAATAAATGTCATGCTCGAAATAGAAAGAATTGTCGTTGCGTGCGACTCAATTTGCGTGTTTCTGATAAAGTTTGAACATTAAAAGTTATCACTGTGACGATAAAATATATAAAAAACATTCATTTGCTACGTGCATGCCTATTTCGGGCATGAAAGGTGAGCGCTGGACGGTAGATGTAAAGAGTGCTTTTTAGTCATTCACGATACACGATCCGGACCGAAGAAATAGAAATGAGAAGACGTCTCACGGGAGACTGAGTGCGCGGCAGTCATTTATTTTTTCGAAATTTTCATTGCGATTTTCTCGGAAACTAAAAGCGATAGAGAAGAACGGACTGAAGATTCTTAATCTACGGAAAATTTTCTATAAGATGAGTTATTCAAATTGGAAATATGAAGGTTCAAAAATAATATATGAGCAAAAAATGCTTGGGACGCGCTTAATTATGATTTTTCGAGTATTTTCGATAACAAATATCTTCAAAACTAAAAGCGATAGCGACCAACGGATTAAGGTTTATGAAAGCTTAGAAAATTCTTTATAAGTTATGGTAATATATTAATTAAAATTTAGGAGAGAAAGATTCGGAAATCGAGACGAAAAGACAAAAAAAGCGTCGTTCCAATTTTTACGATTTTTTTTCAATGGCGTATATCTTGCGTATAACTAAAAGAAGAACTGATAGAGAAGAACGGATTGAAGATTCTTAATCTACAGAAAATTCTCAATAAAATAAGCTAGTTTAATTTAAAACGTGAAAAATTAATTCATAAGAAAAAATGGGCAAATTAGTTTCAGCTATACATTCATCCTCGTACAGTGCCCTGAACACGAGTCACTTCTACCGCTGTCCTCTTCTAAACTAAAATCGCAAGCGACCAACGGATCAAAGAACGAATGAAAGATTGGAAAATTCTCTATCAGGCAAAAATTAAACATAATTTTGTTCCGTGGGGGTATATGCGATCAAAACTATATTAAAATATACTGCATGCGATATGAGCAGATAGCAACGCGACACAAATATTGTTGTTTATTCACAAACGTTGATAAATCAGCAATTTTTGTTTGATGCTAGCCCCATCTATGAATTATACTGTAAATAAAAACAAACAAATTTTCAAAATTCTCCTAAAATGAAAAACCCCACAGTGAGAAGAAACAAGAATTGTCCTTAGCAAATTTTTATTTATGAATTATTCTTGACCTCTCTTATTTTCCAAATTAGAATACTGTATCTTATAGAGAATTTTACAAAGATTTAGAATCTACAATCCGAAATAATTGAAATTAAAAAAAGCAAGACAAAAAGGGGGGATAGGGATGGTTAAGGCGGAATTCCACTGAATTGCATCTTCAAGAACAACTCTTGTGGTTTTGTAAGCGGAAGAAAAACGAAACAGTTAATTTTGATATGTATCAGTCGAGTACGCGACTACCTTATAAATTTGCACACGCGGTGGAAATTAAAACGAAAAATATAATTGAATTATAAACTTACCAATTCAGAACTCATTGACTCCAAGCACGGCAAATACTATAAATAAACAAAGACAACATAAGTTAAAACAAAAACATTTAATACAATTTAGTAATATTATAATCACACAGCGGAGAAAAACAAACAATATGTGCTGAGTTAAGTGACTTACACCAGCACAATGGGTCATCTTAATGATGAATATCAAATCAACATGGAGGCGATACACTTAACCGGCATTTATGGAAAATAAACGCGCAAACTGTAAATAACATTACTATAGATTGATGATCGAATATAATGCGAATTTGGAAAGTAGATGTCCGGACAAACAATACGAGCCGCGTAAAATATTGGATCAACCAGATACCGGCACAAAACTGGCTGCAACCTGTGCAAGCAACGACGCGTCAGTTTATGATAAGAAAGCAAGAGATGCGCAGAGCCAGTGCGTCGATGGCACGCGACCTTGTGCGCGAATCGCTTTGGCACGCTACCTGCGATCAAAACTAAACTAAGAAGCGCCAACATGCGGCGTGAGGGGATCGCATGCGTTGCATTCTCGCGGCCAATGCGATAAGAAAGTGTAAGTTGTGTTCAAAACAAACACAATTCTCGTGTCGAATGCTCGCGCTTGCTGATAGCTATAGAAATAAACAATACATGTACCTACGTATATTTTACAATTTTGGGAATGCTGCTGCCATCTATGAATAGTGCAAATAGTAGTCCCGGAATTTGAATTTAAAAAATTAATAAAAATTTAAAATCCGAATTGTGAAATTCAGATTTCCTATACTGAAGGATTGCCCGATTTTCCACAAAATATTTTAGCGATATTTAATTCGACAGAACAAGACGGATTAAAGATTAAAAGGAACGAATTGCAGATTCTTAAACTATGGACAATTCTCTATAAAATAAGCTAGTAAAATTTAAAACATGAAAAATTAATTCTAAGTCAAGTAAACACTTACTGTACGCTATACCCTCACAATAGCGTACTTTACTTAGCTTAATACTCACCCTAGCTTCGTACGGTACTCTGAACACGAGTCACATCTACCGCTCCCTTCGTACGGTACCCTGAATCAAGTCACTTCTACCGCTAGCTTCGTACGATGCCCTGAACGCGAGTCACATCTACCGCTGCCCTCGTACGGTATCGTGAATACGAGTCACTTCTACCGCTACCTTTGTACGGTGCCCTGAATACGAGTCACTTCTACCGCTGCCCTCGTACGGTGCCTTGAACACGAGTCACTTTTACCTGCATCATGATTTTTTTGAGGAATTTCGGTAGCCAATATCTTCTAAAGTAAAAGCATCAAAAAATGTAAAAAATGTTTTTTTAATCCATCTAATTCATACCTGAAGTACGCACCGCGCTCAGTTTGGCCCGAATCGCCAGAAATTCATCCGGAATCATACATATTCTGCTCTCTTTCACTCTCTCACCTTCCACACCGAATACAACAATTAATTCAAACGCAAGATACGCAACAATAAAAATTATACAGACAATTTATTATGCTGGACATGTAACTGCTGATATGTAATTTCGGTCACACTATCGTTCAATTTGGCGTGGTGCTCGGCGCAGACGGCATGGCATCGCAGACCAGACGTGGTCGCTCCACTCGGAAACGGTTGCCCACATGGGAGACCAACCCTTTTTTGAGGGCCAATTGGAGCGTGTTCAATATGTAGTCCAGTGCATTGCTATCCCCCCGGCGGAGCACTAGGGTTTCACCTCCTTTGGATCTCCGGATGGATAGAACCGACCTTTTGAACAGATGCATTCTTCCTAGTTAAATCAACTTGATCAAAACCGCAGAACAATTAATTTTTTCCGAAACCTGCGCTGTCGTTTAAACGATATAATATTATGTTTTCATAATGTTTCAGCCTACTTGAGTCAATATAATTTCTGAAAACGCAACAGCAGCGACATCTACACGCGGTGGTGTGTATTATAACATTACATACAATCCTTACCTTCCTACAGTAACCTTCGCATGTGAGCATAACCCATCAATGTTTGGATGATTAAAAATTCGAATTCTTTATTATATCAATATCAACGGAGCGCTATCTACAATTTTATACATTAAAAGGATTGTCAAAAAAAAAAACGAACACCGCCGAAGCGAAAATAAACGATTCATAAATAAATTCGCCTCTGACTCAATAAACTTTAGTTTGTCTTGGTTGCAATCAATAGTTTTTAAGTAACCCGCAACGTTTGCAATCTTTAAAAATAACGAACAAAATCAACATGGCGTAGTTCTATCGTAACTATATAATATATATATCAATATCAACAAATCATCAAAAACAATATAGACGTGTCTTCCCTTCGACGTGCATCGCCCCGAGTGCGAGGCGATGTTACAGTAATGACTAATCGAACAGACTTTAGTTTCTTCATTGTGCAATATTCAAGTGGGTGAAAATATTGGTTTTAGTTACTTTGCAGCAGTGTTTTTACACCAACCACGACGCCACACAGCCAACAGTCGTCTTGCAATCTTCACGCCACAGCGCTGCGCATCCCCAGCGCCCTCTCTGCCTTACCTGCTGGACGCGCGCGGCTATAAAATATATATATTCGTATATGTATACTATTTACAAAAAGAAAAAAATATCATAATAATAATAATCACTTGGCATTCTCTGCAAGAAACGCTCACGAATCGTTGCGCAATGATAAGGATCGCGGGCGTTCGAGTACCGTCGCTGCATCTACCAGTATTTTTGGTTCGGCATCGAATTAAATTACTTACTATTGACATAAGACAACAAATAAATGGCACACGCAAATGTTGGGGTTGTGTTGTGTGGTGACCTAGAGGCGTTCGGTGTCGTCCTCCGTATAAAAATCGTTCTCCAGTCGCGTGGAGAGCACATACACTACCGCTTCGTAGGTCGCCATCATGATGGCGGTGTTGGGGATCTGGCGAATTAGTTGCGTGGTAAGGCCGCGATAAACGCCGCGCACGCCCTCCTCGCGAAAGACGAGCGAGAGCGTCTGCCAGAAGGACGTGTAGCGGCTGCCTTCTTCGCGCAGGCGCGTACGTGCCACTTCGTGCGGATAGGCAACACACGACGCCACTGTTTTCGAAATGGCGCCAGCCGCCATGAACTCGAGGAAGTCACGCGAGTCACGTGTGTCTGAATCGCGCGCACGATGCGCCACTAGTTCCTGTTTGATGGCTTCGTAGATGACAAAGTGGACAATCGTCTCGGAGATGCCCATATACGACGCTGTGATACCTTTATAAAAGCCGAGCACACCCTAAAAATAAAGAAAAATCATATAAAATGCTGTAATTTTTAGGTTGTGATGTTTGCAGATGGCGCCACTCACCGACTTTCGGTATATCCTGCGCACGCACTGCAGCGCCGTCATAGGTTTCCCATCGCGATTGACGTCCAACTGTAGTCGCGTCTTGACGAACCAGATGGGGTTGGTGAGCGTGCTGGCCATGAAACCAGCGCAGGACGCCGACAGCATGTGCACCACCGGACTCTCGGGTGGCAGCAGTGAGTTCCAGAAGAGTTTCGCTTGCGAGTACGTGCAGAAGTAGACGGCGCGCGAGGGTGCCACGCCTACCAAATTCGGGCCGAGGCCTAAGCACGCACGATTAGCCGACCGTACCACCTCCACCAACGCCGCCATTCATCTCACAACTTACCCTTGAACAGCGCCAGCGGGCCCTCGTGCTTCACAATGTGCTTCAGGCATTGCACGAGCCCAATCGACCGGCTCGGCGGGGCGACGTAACCTGAAAGAGCCACAACTTGAGGCCGGAAGTGATGGCTGGATGTCCACAACCTACGCCTCTGCTGCTGCTGTTGTTTGATGGCGCCGACTGGCAGCGTGCGGCACGTGGTCTTCGCGTCCGTGCCGCCATTCTCGCGCGCGATCTGCGGGATCTCCGTGAAGCCGGACCGCGACGACTGCAGTCGCGTCTTCACCACCTCCAACGGGCATGTTACGATCGCCCCGACAGTCCCGGCCACGCTAAAAGACAACACAAACAAATCAGCGCACTTCACAACTCATCATATATATCGCATGACTAAACACGCGTGCGGCTAAAAATAGACGCGCGCGCGGCGATTTTACAAATACAGCGTAAATACGCGCCGCTATATTTACGCGTTCTGACGCGCATTGTTCGCGAAATGGAAAAAAAAGCAGCAGCAGCAGCACACAACGACATTGACATTGAAGGTCCGGATGGTGATTTATGCGCGCAATGATTGCGAAATCGCAATTGGCTACCGGTGCAGAATTCATTGGCGCTGTGCACGTTGGCACGCGTCCGGCTGCCGGGCGAAAATGTCAGCGTATTACGTCCCAGAGGGCATCTTCACCCGATAAGCAGCGTGTGCTGATACGCGATGCGCGGTGCGTTAACCTCTTAGCCCCCCGAATGATGACGCTAGCGCTGCTGCCATTAATTTTTGGCGAAAATTTTCCACACAACCGACGACGACGGTTTGTTTACGATTGCCGATTTTGCCGCTGTCTAATTTTAAGTTTATACGAACCGGTTTTGACCGTTTTATTACGCGCGATAAGGAGGAACACGCTATCGTCGACGTGTTAATGCGTCGTGCTTTAATTACAAATACTCACACACCGTCGATGACACCGGAAGCGGCCGAAGAGTTCCGCCATTTGCAATCGCGCATGAATGTCAATCGCGCATGTCAAACACTTTCGTTTATCATCGGCGAGATAAAAACCGAGAATGAAATCGTAAACAATTTACACAATCACAAACATGCATTCATGAAATCGGCATCAATTAGTTACTGTCGGAGTTGTGTAACAAATTACTCCAGACAAATTGCGCATGCATGACAATCAAATTTAAATCAAATTCATATAGCGTGCGTATTTATACAAATATACACAATTTTTTTTTTCTGCTTCGCTCGAGAAAACCTTGAATTGTTGTTTTTTTTGTGCTTGCATACGAATCTAATACGCAATAAGTGGGTGATTGTTCCAGGCGCTGATAATTGATTAGAATAGAATTGAAGTGGCAAAATAATTTGTTGATTCGTGTTGTGTGCACACACAAATAACGCTCGAAATAACGCGATTGTTTTCGTGCGGCGCACGCACGTGAGAGACGACAGGTCGAGGCGGTCATTTGTTTACGTTCGATTTGTTTGAGCCGGCGGTTGGCACCTTCGCATGTCCACATGCACTTTAAGGACTCGAGCGAATTGAAGTGCGCAACTAGCGCGCCGGTTACATAAACGTAAACAACACAACAACGCAATTATCGCGCGCGCGCGCGATCGCTTATCACATCGGTGCGTTATCACGCGGCCTGCGGCCTACTTACGGCGGCGCAGAGCGCTGAAGACGAAGAAAACGCGCAGTGGCTAAAAATAGCGCTAGGCTGCAGGCAGCAGCAGCAGGCGACACCACAACACACGCCGCCGTGTGGTGCGTGCGTTATATAAGCGCGCAGCGGCGAGGTTAGGTCGGATCCAGCAGGCTGGGGCCGGACCAAAACAAAACGCGTCGGAAGCGGTACTCACCCACCGGCGACTAGATGGATTACGGTATCCCGTTGGGACATGTCATAAATGCCAGCGATGCACCGGACGCTGAATGGTTGTTGAAGAAGGTAAGGCGCGCGCGCCCCAAGCGGGCCGCGTACAGGCAAATATCACTGCACACTGTGTGTCGGGGATATATATCGGCAATACGCAACACAATCGGAGCGGCGTTCGCAGCGGCTGACGAGATGCGGACGAAACACGCGGCTGGCGCGGACTGAGCGCGCGCGCGCTCGCTGTGTATTCGGCGGCGCAACACACCGCGGCGGACAATCGCAAACGGCGAAGGGCTGCGCGTTCGTTCGCGAGCTGCGCGCGTTCACACAGTATTCGCGCTCTCGTGGGCAGCCAGCGAGCAGGCTGCTGGTTTGTTTTCCTCGACGCTTCGGTCTACTACGGCTGGCGGCGCGCGCTGCACCGGCGAACGTGACCAGCGACACGCGCGGAACTCTTCCAGTTCTTCCCGGGTATTATCTCTGCAGTGCACTGTGGAATTTTTCACTGAAAATTTTGATGATGACCACTGACCGAAACAAAAAATTTAAACTGCTTGACAGAAGGTCAATGCATGACAATATAAAATCAAAGCATACTTGACTTGTATTTTTTACTACGAGTTTTTTATTTACATTTACGAGTTTAAAACATTTGAAAATTTCCATTGCCTTCGATTCTCCATGTGCTAATTACAGATATTTAACGTATTGCTACTAATTTCCAACACTTTCTTCACACTCACGTGACAAACTAGATGAAATAAATTACTTTTCAGCCACTGCGCGCGATGCACGCACCACCTGAAAGTCATTTAGCAACAAACGAATTACGAATAAACTAATTACAGTAAAACGAGATGATAAATTAGCGCGCATTAGCAAGGCGAACGTAATTAACACCTGTACAGCTCAAGGTTCGCAATAAGTCCAAACAAAAGTACAACGAAATAAATAAATATTAAATTAGGGTTTGAAGGTGGCTGATTTCGGAATGGCGGACTTAATATGCGCGTATTTTTTGCACCCGGGTGTCAGTGGTAATCCAGAATATATTTGGAAGCGTGCGTATTCGCCATTTTGCTGTTGCATAGATGCGAAATCTTGAAATAATTCAAATTTTAAGTTTATATTGTGCGCATTTAAGGTTTAACGTAGGCAACCAGTCGAACACGTATAATGTTCATCTTTTAATTACCAAAATTGCAAATATCTATCAAAATTTATCTGTATTTATATAGATATAATATTTATAATAATTATAACATCAAATATACTTCTAAATTCTCAACAAAAACAATATTTCTCTATTAATTTCCTACTCAAAAATCATTGCACTACAAGTTGCCTAACATAATACTCTGTAATTTTGTTTGTGCTGCGCGTGTCAACAAGAAAATAAACACAAACCCGGCACAATTCGTGTTTTAACAACAATGTAGACGCAAACAAGCAAATATAATGATAAGTACAAAGCAAACGTGATTAAGACACTTCTCTATCACCGTATAACAATGATAACATAAGAAAAATCATTACTAACCAGCTGATCTCATTGCATTTCATTATGGTGAGTGTATGCAGACTGTTATGGGGCCCTCAGAGGGCCATCAATTGCTACATCATCCTCAGCATATGGATACTCATCATCATAGCTGGCATCTACAAGTTCCTAGAGCCAATTCAGCCTCCGCCAGAAGCCACAATCATATCAGATCCGTTTCAACATCTGGAAACTGATGTAAAAACGCGCAAAATCTTTCAGATTTGCAATGAGCCACAAAGTATGATACCAGGAGATGAAGGTACAAACTAAACACATAAATAACATCATACATAACATGATTTTGATGTGTTACAGGTATATTAAATGTTAAATCATGGAGTTTAAAGGGAGTTCTCATCGTTTTTCGTCACGGCGATCGCGGTCCTCTTCAACACATCAGAAACGTCTCCACAGTTGATTGTGGCACACCTGAAACCGACCTCCTAGCCGCATATCGTGCGTATTTACACAATGCGACATTATTAGGCAAATCAAGCGCGTGGACAGGCCCTGGTTCGTTCCATGGTTTCCCGTTAATACCGACAAACGCGCGTCGGTGTCATCTTGGACAGTTGACAATGCGTGGCGTAGCACAGCTACTCACACTTGGCGATCAACTTAAACACAGCTACACGGAAACCTGGCCACGTGCGAAAAATCTCACCGCTGGCGATGTGGCTGTGTACAGCACAAGGTATCATCGTACATTCCAGAGTGCGCTAGCACTGCTCTACGGGCTTATACCGGCGGAAACGCTGTCGAAACTTAGTTTTATCGAGAGTCAATCGATGACGTTCTGTTTCAAGGACTGTGGATGTCCAATAACAGAAAAATACTTCAAGTAATACTGAAGTTTATCAAGTTTTTCACATGATTTTTACTGATATTTTTGTCTAGGGCTGTTTCGAAGTCAATGGCGGAAAATCTGCGCACGCATCCCGCGATAAAAACGCTTGCGCAAACGACAGGCAACTTAATATTCTCAACTGATGCCGAGCATGGACATTTCGCGCAAGATCCACAATCGGTCCGGGATGCACTTCTTACTTATATTTGTCACGATAGTAATTTACCGTGTGATACGCCTACAAATTGCATACGGTAAGATAAACATAACCCAATAAGTATAACATAACCTCAAATTAATAATTTTGATATTATATTGGCAGGCGTCAAAATATTTTGGGTATTTTTATGTACCACGACTGGATGACGAGCGTGCAGTGGAAAAACCGTGAACAACGCCGTCTGAGTCTTCTACTTTCCTACGGATTAGTCAAACACATCGTCGCGCAAATGCTGCGCATACTCTCAGATGGCGCTCCGCATCTAGTCGCATATTCAGGCCATGATCATACGCTGTTACAACTCGCAGCAGCGTTGGGTTTACATCATGACGCTTCATTATGCCGGTACGCCGGGCGTTTGGTATTCGAAGTTTACGCGAATACAGCGGAAGGCGCCGGTCAGTCCGCTGGCGGCGCATATTTTCGATTACTCGCCAACGGACGTGATGTCACACGTCAAATCGCCTTCTGTAAGAGCGCACGCGCACTCCGCGAACACGTTCATGTCTGTCGCATTGAAGACATCGTGCGCTTCCTGCACGACGACTACTTCACCGCGTTCAACGTCACCAACTTCAAGGACGCTTGTTTTGCAAAGAGTCTCTAATCACCGTCGCACACAATTTTTCCATCTGTGTGTTATTTACGCGTCAGTTAATTATCGATTCGTTATCGCGCGCTGGATGACACTCATGTGTCAACAGCCTGTTTACACAACGCGTAACGATAACGCGTTACGTTACAACATCTAGTCAGCTATTTCTTATTATTTATTACTATGCTATAGTATTCCTATGGTTTATCAGCGCGCCTGGTCGCGATCTGTGTGCGGGAATAAACACAAGTCTTCTCCAGTGAATGTACAATGTATAATAAAATATAGTCATTTAACAAACAATTGCAATAAAGCGAGAAATACTTTGGTCTCTCTGGTGACACCAGAAAAAACAAAAAACAGACCACAAATATATACTAACACCGCGCAACAAAACAAATCGTCATCTCGCATTCATACAAAACTGTTACCACGAAACGCATGATTGTTTTAGAAGCTTTTATCGCATTTTATAGAAGATGTTTCTTTTTTTTTTTAAATATGTCCGTATAACATGGATCATTGTATCGTTTCTTAAACGGCAGTTATTCTTCATCTCAAGTGGTCGCGTTGCATATTTTCATTTACTATCGTTTTGCTTTTTTCGTTTCGAACCACGCCGATTTGGTCGACTAGGCGGCGTATCGCTTGTAGGTGGCATTCAATTGCTCGAGGAATATGAAGGTGAGTACCGTGTGAGGTCCCAGCCGGCAGTAGTATGGAGTGAAACCCTTCCACAGCGCGAAAACGCCTTCGTTCTTCACCAGCTTCCCGAGCACATCCAACGCGCCGGTGTACTCTGGCTTACCATCGACGTATTTCATGTTTTGGATCCTGTACAACAAGAAATTCAATCAATTTTATATCAAAAACTACGAAAAAATGTCCGTTTACACCGCGTGACAGTTATTTTTACAAGAAAAAATTTAGTTCAAGGTTCCGCCGCTAGTCCAATGAATGAAATCAAGATTTATACGATTCCGAAAATAAAATCCGCGCGTAGTTTCGCTTGGAAATAGGAAATCGACGCGAACTTGAGTAAATTGTTTAGACGTGCGCGTTAATCGGCCTGTGACGCAGCGCGGCCATCTAGAAAAATATGTTTGTTGCAAGCCGCAATTAATATACCGGCCGCTCTAAATTTAATTTTACGGCCGGACGCTGTCGCCACGATAGCCGCGTGAACCTTAACCTTGATAAATGCGTCATGATGAATTCCTGCGCAATGTCAATGAAAATGATAAAATTACCTGGTTTTGGCTATATCCACAGGCATGGATGCAGCGGTGGTGATAAGTCCAGAGATCATCGACGCGCAGAAGTGTAGAAAGATGCCCTCCTCGAAGAAGTCGTACGAGGCGAGGACTTGTTTCGCTTGCGAGTAACTCGCAAGCTGGGCGGCATTGACGACCATAGCACGACCCATGGTTGGTATAGCTCCACGCCATAGAGCTAGGACGCCTTCTTCGCGACAGATGCGCATCATGGCATCGACGACGTTTTTGTAATTGCGGCGTTCGGCGGCCGGCAGGCGTCCGTCGGACGTCATTCGGATGAGGGCTACTTCTGCGGGTGTGCCGACGAAGGCACCGCATACACCTGCGGCCATACCGATGGCTGCCTTCGTTGCGAAGTTCGGTGGATGGCCGTCTCTGCTTGCCATGTCGAAGAGCATTTGATAAACGCCGAGACGCGTCGTCGTGTAGGTCGCCTGACGGAGCAAACCAGCGGAGAGGCCGTTGTATAACGCGAACACGCCCTCATTGGCGATGATTCCGCGAAAGGCCTGGAATGACGAAGTGTATTCCTTCTTTGCCGTGCCCACGCCCGACAGCTGCATGCGATTCTTCAGCAAGTCGAGCGGCTGCACGAAAAGTGTGGCCATCATGCTGGAAACAAGCAAAAACATTAGTTGTTTTTTATACAAGAAAGCGAATTTTATGCGTGTGCTTACCCAGCGCTGCCACCAAAAACAAACTTCAAGGCTTTGGGGATCTCCTTCTGACGGTCTGCCATGGTTTTCGCTGCTAGTTGGAAATTTCGAGGTTTCACGAACGTACGCGGAGTACTGAAAACAGACTGAAATGTTGTAGTGAACGCAACGCGCGCGCGGCGTAACAGGTAGCCGCGCTCGCGGTCCCCCGAAAAACCAGCCGCGAACAGCTGACCACGGCGGGCCGCCCATTGCCTACACTACGTTTCATAGGTCCAACTGTTCGGTTGGTTGCCTAGCGTTGACTTAATTGGAAAAAAAATTCAAACTGTCAATTCAATTGGGATACTCACATGTCACAAAAATTTATCGGCAAAATATATTAATCGAAGAGGATTGGATCAATTGGGTAGTCTCTGTCTGTAACGAAATAATTTAGAAAATGTTGCACTGAAGGCCGGGCGGTAGCGTGTTAAATTTTGATCAACCGTGAAAACATTGCACACTGAAATTTCTATGAATGGCGATCCAACGGAATGATCACCTCATTTTATGCTGTTGTTCGCGCGACGAGTGAATCGATACTGAGCTCCGTCCAAAAATAAATAGTCATGGTTGCTATTGGATTTTGAAATTTGTTTCAACGGCCAACATAATTATTTTTTGTTGCTTTAACATAGGCAACCCTCTATACACACTCAACACATCGTTCAACAATTCAAGATGGCGAAACAAGTGGCGTCGGTTAAGCAGAGCGGTGAGAACATTTTTTTCAATTTATTTATTATTTAATTGCTAGAAAACGTTTTCTTTCAATAACATTGTAATAATATAACTGAATAACAACAAACAATGAAATAAAACGAGCGTAAAAGCACACGGTTACCTGTAGAGTAGTATGTGCAGCGAAAGAACATAAACCACGCTCATCTACGCCGTCGAATATTAAAATAACGCATAAATACGAGCTTATTACATATTATACATATGTACCTATATAGTAAAGTCGCTGCAACATATTCGTCGCGTTTGGTTTCCTCACTCAATGCCGCCACCACCAACAATTTATATACAATCTCAATGCGCCCGAGTGCTAGTGCTCTGTCCGTTCGCTCACGCATGCATCCAAAATAAAAATTCAAAAAAAAACTAAACATTTATTTGTAACTGGGGGTAACTTTTCTCTGCGCCGCCGTCCTCGGGCAAAGAACACGCGTTCAACGTAATAATATTCGCGGTGTATTGCGTAGTAAGGCTATTTCTGCAAAGGTTTTGCACAGTTTGTTTAGTTAAATGTGGTTGCATGTAGGCAGCGCTCCAAGCCGGCGGCGGAGATCAGCAGAAGCACCAGCGGCGCGCTCGCTGTTACTTCTTGTCAGCCTTCTTCTTCGCGCGCTTCTTCTCATTACCGCCCTCCTGCACATCGTCACTCTTTGGTTCATCCTGCACGGGGGGAGTCTCCACTGAAGGCTCAGCCGGTTCGTGCTCTGCGTCATCCACGTCCATGGCGGTGATCTGTGAACCGCTGCGCGCGACTCCGCCAACAATGAGTTCCTGATTGTCGGTGCTATGCTCGACTGAAGGTACATCCGCACTGGCGGTTTCTTCCGCTGTCGGTGGGGCGGCATCAGGTGCGCCGGCATCAGCCGGGGCTGGAGATGGGGTTGGTTCAGGGTTAGCAGCGGGGTTTTGAACTGCCAGCGCCATCTCTGGTGTTGGCGTCGCTTCTTTTGTCTGTTTAGCTGCAGCGTCTTCATTTGCCTGCGCTTTGGTCTCCAGTATCCTAATGGTTTCCTGGATACGCCTGATGGTCTCTCTACGCGCATTGCGAATGGAATCCTGCCCGCCCGTTTCGATATCATCCAGCAGGATCATCTTCCGCGTGAGCATCTCATCTAGGTACAAGTATCTTTTGTCACGCGGCTTACCATCAAAGTTGGTAACTTCAGTCAACAGTTCAGACACGTCTTTCTGGATGTTCTGAATCAATTCCTCGGAGGTAGGTTTGGTTTTGACTGGTGGTGGTTGTCGCGGTGGTTGCGGAACCTCAGCCTCTTGCTGTTGCTGCTGCTGTTGTTCATGTTGTTGTTGTTGTTGAAGCCATTCCTGACGTCTGATTTCTTCTTGCCGACGTCTGAGGTTTTCCTGCCGCACTTTCGCATCCTGGTCCGGTGGTGGATTCACATATTGGGTATAATTATGGGTTCGCTGCGGGTGCTGCGTCTGCGCAGTCGCAGTGGGGGTTAAGACCTCGTCACGTCCCTCCACATGTATGGGAATATAATGTTCTTTTGGGTTTGAGTGAGCAGGCTCGGCCGCCGGCGATGCCGTGCCCTGTTGCGCAGGCTGCGACGAGGTGCTGCCCATGTCTGCATTCACGTTGGGTATATTCACGCTGCTAATGAAGCGTTGGCCGCCTGCGCGATTCGGGTGTTGTGGGGGTGCAGACATGGAGCGGATGTTGCGGGTATCATCCACTAGCGTCGCTTGGGGTTGGCCTAGATCGACCGTATTGCTTTGTTGAATCTTCTTCCCACTCTCGGGCGTGGCAGGCGGCTTGGTGACGATCGGTGTGGTTTTCGGTTGAGGTTGAGGTGGTGCTTGTGGCTGGCCGGATGGTTGCTGAGGTTTGTGTGCTTGTGGGGCGGATTGTTGCTGATGAGCAGACGAACCTGCGCGCCGCGTGCGTGCAAAATGCGGCTCGTCGAAATCCTCGAACGGGTAGCTGTGATCGTCGAAATGTCGGCGTAACCAATCCGGGGAGCTGAAGTGCTCGGCGAACTCTGGATGGCGTTCAGCGAAGTCCGTGTGACGCTGGGCGAGTCTCGCACGCAGTCCTCGATCCTCAGGCTCGTCGAACGGAAATCCCCTCTGGAAATAAACAAAAAAAAACAATTAAATAACAACGCCATGTCACTAGATTTCGAAAATAAAAAATGGCGTCGTAGAGACTATTTCACACGTTTACAACAACTCACATCATCACAATATTCAGGCATGTTATCGTAAAGCGAAGTCATTCCGTTAATCACAGACAATCAGGTTTCTAACACAATTAATCACAATGCGCACAGCGTTAGAGGGGGTTGCATACACTTTCTAGCGCACAGAACAAAAAACTCAAAATCGCACACACCAACTTCACTCTTCGAAAGCACGCTACGGACTGATGACTAACGCGAAATTCCGAAACGCTTTATATAAACACGACCAGCAACCGGTGGCGAGTGGGACGCAATCTCGAACGCGTCTCGAACAAATTCCCAAAGCTTCGAGAGTCTACTGGACTGACACCAAATACAAACTATCGCAGTGGTAATGTACAACAATACACGATATCATATTATCATAACCAAACCGAAATATCACAAAAAGCTGATTTTTTAGCAGGTCAATCATCACATCCGCTGTGAATGACAATTACGCGGATAAATCGCGAACAATTGCAGTTTCGCGATGAAGTCATTCGCGACAAAACACATCGTGACGCTGTGCTGTGTGTTTGTTCGCATCGCGCGTTATTTTGCTTTTTTTTCACGCTCCTCGCTATTTGTGGTCATTTATAGCGTGTGGCAAAGCGCGCTCAGCTCGGACCAATGTCATTGCCATATATGGCAGCTCCGAAATCGAGCTAAGGCCATCGCGAGACGTTTCCTTCTCTCGATGATTGCTGCATGCAGGCAAACAGGTCGCAGTACACTAACATATATTCGATTACGCTGCGCGCGGAGAGATAATTCGTGTGAAAAACGAACAATTACTCACGACGCGCCGATAATTTTTGCCTTTTCTGCGCGCCCAAATAAAGCCAGTGGTGTTTTCTAGGCGCGAGTAAATAGTTAGAAACGTACTGGAGCCCGGCTCACGTAGGCAGTAGGTGCAAACGCTTCGGCGTTCGCAGAAATCGCGCCCACGCGCCTTCAAACGCTTTTCGTTTCTGCACTGCGATCGATAAATCATTTAACATAATTAATACACTACGAATGAACTAGTTTAAATTAAAATTTAAAACACAACAATAAACTCAATGAATTTCAACTAAACAACAAATTTTTTGAAGAAAATTGTTTTGTTTTGCAATTTCTCCCCGTAAAAATCTTACATGTGCACTGTTTTATTGATTTATCATGCATGACGTGGTTGCACTCACAGAAATTTGTCATTGCACACCGGTGAAATTCGACAAATAAAGAAATCAATCACAGAATGAATCAAACAATGCATGTATTAGGAATGGCTGGAAGTAGTTTAAATTTAGACCGGCTTTTTTCATGCGCAGTTCACGTAGTAAAACTTTTTGGAAAAGGAGCTCAAACATAAAACACAATATTAGTGCATTTATTTCGACACGAGAGCAGCACATGCCGAACGTGCCAAGTATAATTTCATCGTTCGACACCCACACAAACGCGGCCTTTTTATTTATTTACAAAATTAACGTGCATTAATTCCTCGCTCACACACAAAAAAAAAACAAATCACGTGAATATATTCAACATGCATGAATCGAGCGTAAAATTTGACTTGTCTTGTAGTACGGTGGTGGTGTTGACATTGATAGTAGAGCAAGTTTGAGGTTAGGTGCGATGCGACGGTGGAAAAATTGTGAAAATATGCCGCCGACCTTGATGCGGTTTTACGGCGCGCTTTGCGAGAAAACGCTTATAAATAGGCCGGCGATACTTTCGTGTTGCAACGTATAAATAGTAATAATGTCAAATCCGATTGCAAATATTATAAATAGCTGCAACTTCGCACGCCATCTTAAGCCTAAAACTTCCACACAGTGAAGGCAAAAGGCAGTGATTAGCGCCGAATATCACGAATACTCAAATGGGAGCACATGATAAAAAATAAACGACCTTCACACTTTGTAAATTAGGTCGGGATATAACTACGAACAGTTCGCGGTTGAAATAAATCGTGCATGCAACCCAATAAGCACGGGTAGTTTAAGCCATGCACAGAAAAAATAAGAATGATATGTCACCTGTTATGTGTGAGAGTCCAAGCACTAAGTGGTTAGTGGCAGCACCAGGTTGATTATAGCATGAGATGTGTTAGGCAGTACGTTCACAAAACACACAGCGGGGATGCACAAGGAGCCGCAGCACGCCGCGATTGTGCGGCAGCGCTCTGTCCGCGACCAAGGTGACAGAAAACGCCTAATCCTAAAAGAGCACATGTCAATGTTAGAATCGATTGCGGCGGATGATTTGCAGGCGAGGGACAATAAACTAAGGTAGTTGGCGCTGGCTACTTACACCGAATGGCGACCAGGACATTATTCTCGCTGCGCATCAAACACCAACGGAGCGGCGGCTACCAACGGGGCTGGTTTGTTTCGCGAACGCCGACGCGGTGAAGGCACTAATGCGACGGACGGCGATCCTACTGTAGTACTCTGACGGTACGGCGCGCGGTGCTGCGAGGGGCGCGTGGAATAAATCGGAGCCAGGCGAGGGACCTACGTGCGCCGGAGCGAATGTTCGCCGACTGTGCGACTGATCGCGACGGACGACAAATAGTAGGTTATGAATAAATGTTCGAGAACATTTCGAAATGTTTCGTTGTGTTCATTTGTCTCAGATGTTTGACGTCCAGAGCCTTCTATGCGTTAAAATACACTCGCGGACTAGTAACACGTCAAAGTTACATAAGTGAAACACAGATGTCGCTAGCATGCACTTTCTGACGCTAAAAATACCGCATGGAAAGTGCCGGAGCGTGGAATTGTTTTGAACGCAAACGCGAGTATTCGTATACTACACGTAAACAAAACAATAAACAACATCGCGGAGATAATACACGTAAAGAATGAGGCATGCGAGTGTAGTGGTCAGTCTAGAAGTGCGCACGCACAGGCGACTAAGCCCCGAAGCGGCGAAGCGCGCCGCGCTCACACCGCACTGGCACAGTCCAACCAGAGTGCCGCGGCGCACGACCGCGAGAACGCGAAAACTGAAAACACCGCACCGCGAAAAGCCGCGATCCGCGCGAATCCAACATGTAGTCGCGCCTCGCCGTGCGCACCGTGCAGCAGGCCAACACCAGGCCCTGGTGTCACCATCGGACACCAAACTCCAACGGAAGCCAGCCTACCTACCTCGAGTCTTCAACGCGTCGCCGTTTTGTTTACACCCAGAGGCAGAACGCGGAAGTGAACAGGTAAGCGCGCTCAGCGCGTGTTGTGTGGTGTTATCAGCGGCGCGCACGCCGCGCTTCAGCCTCGAACTCGCCGATGAAGTTCACCATTCTCGCTGCTGCGTCGTCGTCGAGGATAACGCACGCCGCGCGCGCACTTGTCGCTCTTCCCAGAGTCGACTCAACGCGCCGATGTAAACAAATAAAAAAAACACGCAATTCGCGTGAAAATTGGAAATTTCCACCGGCGCTAACTTTCAAATCAACTTTTACTCATGGCGTAGTTTTCCAGACTGAAGCGCATATATTAACGCTGTGTGGAGTAGCGCGATAATTATCTTGGAATGTATGTGACTTTTCAATTTGCACGAATTACCAGCGCTTGTTTCCCAACGCTGCGCGCCTATTTTCGGAGAGTTACGCGTTGATTAGTGTCGTTGATTAGGTAAATGCGGCCCTGGCTTGATTACGGCCGGCGTAATGTGTTACTATGTATACGAGGAGTATACGTACTGTTGCGCAGTGCGCTCGGTGTGCGAACGGACGACTTTTTGTTTTTACTTTTTGTACACAAGGCATGCGAGTGATCCGGTTGTCTATAATTAGATAAATTCCAGTCGACGTGGCTTTTATTCATCGCTGCCTTTTTTATTTTATATAAGTATTCCTCGCGCGGCATTTGCGTTCCAAGCAAGTGAGTCTTATCACTGGTGGCCGATAAGCGCGCGGGCGCGCGCGCTCTGTGTGTCATTTCGTGTGCTGACCGCTGCAAACCGCCGAAAAGTTCAAGTTCGTGACTAGGCAGCCCACTGTACTCTTCGGCGCGTACCACGTGCTTCTAAGGTTGCGAAAACGTGTTTCGCGTTGAATGAATTGTGTTTTTGTGTTGTTGAGGCACTTGCTTAGTATTTACAAAGTTTAGGTGCGGCGTGATGACTCGATCACGTGAGTCTTTTCCTTTCCAGCGCGTGTTAGGTCTTCGCGTTGCATCCAGTGTGCACATGAAACAATTGCGTCCTTGAGCGGCGCCCCGACTTTGCTAATGTTGACTACACTACTAAAAATTCAACAATTTGTACTTTGGGTTGCATATCACTTCAAATATGAAAAAAAAATCTCGGTGATTTAAGTTTTTTTTTTTTGATGATTTTTTTTTTGATTTTCTGGCGTGTTTTGATGCTACCAGCTAATCGGAAGGTTGGCAGCGTGGTTCGGCGGGCAGCTCGCGCAACCGGTTTTCCGAGTTGCGCGCGTTGTTTAGCGCTTACAAGAGGGCAAACAGACATCGATGATGAACTCCGACATGCGCATCATGTCAACCTTAAGCCACTGCCCACACACCAACCGGGAAAATTCTATAAATTGTATTTTTCCACAAACAACGGACGGAAATCAGCCACGTACGAACTATTAATAAGCACGACCGAGTTGCGCCAATAAATGCCAAAACAATCGGCATCAAACGCGGGCGCGCGCGTTTGATCGCGTCGAAAAAACGCGTGAAAACATCCGTTTTTGCACCAAGTGCGCGAAAATTAAACAAATAACCACTTCGTCTTCGTTTTCGTCAAGTCAAGTGTTATAAACATGACAAATTAAATATAAAAAAAAAATATAAAAAAATAAATCTGTTTTATTATTATTACATATTTAAATTGTCTGCATTGCAACAAGCTGCATACTTCATTAATATTAATTGGATGCATTGCGGCAAGCAGCCTGATGAGGGACGTTACTTAACGGCCCTGACGCAACAAGGAAAATGCTACTTATTTGTCTCTAACATGCGGGCGATGAAGAAAATCCAATACACAATCGCATCACTCTGTATGCAATGATGTAAAACACTAAAACAAACTTGTGCGATGTTTACGCTGACCCAAATGCATTGCTAATCAAGTCTTCCCTTATTAAACGTTTGTTAGCAACATGTTGCTGTTTGTCATCGAATATGTTCGCATTTTTATTGCCATTGTCTCGTCGCGCCCCCTTGGCTTGTGAAAGTCTAGCCTGCGAGATTTTTGGCGACACAGGAACGCGAAACAAAAGAGACGCCGCACGCGCGGAAAGCGATAAATCACGGGAAACCCACGCGCGCGCTAATTAAAATGCGAACAATCACTTGGTGCGATGAACCGCCGGCATTTATGTAAGCGTCGTTTAATTTAATGAGGCGTAATCGTCGAATTATTGCTGAAAAACCGCCGGCGAGGAAATTCATCTCACAAGCAGCCTCACCTACCTACGCGAATGCGTGAATGGTGGTCATTTGTTTGATCGACTTTCTCATTAATTAAGCGGACGCCGTGACGTGTGGTGTCTTGCGAATTCGTACGCGTAATCGAAAATTAATCGGACGTTAATTGCCTTCGCTCGAGTGGAATTTTGAATTTTTTTTTTCCGCCGAATTGAATTTTTTGCTCTTTCTCAACTCATCAGATGAAAGATTAAGAAAGACGTCGTATTTAATGTCATGCAGCGAGGCTTTCCAGCTGGCCGGGCTACCGTGCTGCATGGACATTGAACGTCTGGCCGCGCAAATAAATCAGTATTCAAATTGGCGCCCATTGATATTTAAATTATTCAAATTATGCGTGTGGTGTGTGTGTCGCAAGCGCAGGCGCTCTTTTTCCAGCGCGCTGTCCGCCCGATTTTCTTATCGCGGCGGGTGCACCGGACTGACATCGAAAAGCGCTAATTAACGATCTAATTATTCCGATTTCAAATATCAAACTTCCGAGATACCAAAGCGTACGTTGAAAACACTGCGTTAACAGGTAATAAATTTCAACTACAACGCGCTGAGCTCTATTAAGATGTAATTTTATCAATAACACGCGTGTTGTAACAAAGATATGACTGATTTCTTCCTTCTACGCCGTGTACATGACCTAATGATTATTCATATCGTGGTTTAACATCAATTAAGAAAAAAAAGTGCGTGTCTTGTCGGTGGAAAATTTATTTGCGTACTCGATCATTATTTAAATTCAGTTTCGAGCGATTTTGTTTTCGTCGGCGACTAATTTCAATAATTTTAAGAATTCGCCGTAATAATTACGATAGACTTGATCTGTTTTCGGTGTTAGTGTGATTCCGAAATAAATAAATTAGATAGACTCGTCGTGTTTTTTTTCTCTAATTATGTGTCTAATTATAAGTAAGCCATCGATTTAATTACTTGCGCTCGTCAGGGTTAAACACACGGGTAAACTGATCAATCTGACGTCGATATTTAACGGTCGGTCACGAGCCGCGAGATAAATTACGCTCAATTATGGTCTTTTTCGCCGCCACGCGACGCGATTTTATACGATCGCCGAAAACGACGGTCGCGCCGGCCTTGCTGGCCGCGCGGAACAATGCGCGGCAATAAATTACATTAATTGCGAAGGGGGGCAATTACGCGGGGCGCGCGGCGCTAAGGCCGACGACGCCCATTCGTACTTCATCAGCGGCTAGTCTTTTACCGATTGGCGAGGACCGCGGCCTTCTCTTAGGTTGCACATAATTAGAAAAATATAATTACAGCTAAAATTACTAGTTTCAACGAAAAAATAGCTTCTAGGTTACAAAACAGGCCAAAAGTAAGAAATATTTTAAAACTACACTCCGATAGATGACGCTACATGAAATATAAAGACATTTTTATGTAAAAATTATGATTTGATGTGCAATTTTAACGAAAATGTGCGTAAAATTGATTTAAATCACTATTTTCAACATAAAATAGCTTCCAGCTTACAAAATACGACAAAATTAAGAAAAAAATTAAAACTACACTCCGGTAGATGGCGCTACATGCAACAGAAAGGTATTTTTACATAAAAATTATGTTTTGATGTTCAATTTTAACGAAAATGTGAGTAAATTTGATAAAAATTACAATTTTCAACCAAAAATAGCTTCTTGTTTACAAAATAGGATAAAACCAAGCAAAATTTTAAAGCTACATTCTGATAGATGGCGCTACATGCAACAGAAATTTATTTTTTAGCTAAAAATCATGATTTTTTTGTTAATTTTAATGAAAATGTGGGTAAAACTGATTAAAACTGTTTCGATTTCATGCGTGCCACTTTTTCTGCCGGTAAACCACTCAGCTAAAAATAAAAAACACAAACCCGCCTGATATCGCTCCAGATACACGACCACTGCCGGTCAGTTGACACAGAGCGCGCGTAATTACGGTTAATAGCGCAATTAATAACGCGGTCTCCGATTGTTGCGGCCGTGGTCACAGTCATCATCATCGTCGTCGTCGCTCGCCGTTAATTTCAATAACCGATTTGGATGATACACGATCCACAGATACAGATACAGATTGCGTGTGTCACATTCGGCGGGCTTTTACACAGCGGCACGCTTCACTTGCTTCGGTTTACAATCATCGTCGACAATTGTTGTTGTGTGGTGTCGATATTGCGGGTTGGCCAGAAGCTCGCGTGTGCCGCGCGCCGCGCTCAGTCAATTGAAAGTGTTCGCTCGATCAAGTTCTTTTAATTTGTGCTTGGATTTAATTTGAATTTCTGTCATCGAAAGTCTCCCATCGGATTTGAATCGCATTGTGTTGTTTTTTTTTTTTTTTTTTCCGCTGGTAATTGCATGATGCTGGTGTAATTGTGTTACAGTGTTTCACTATCAGGTAAAAAATAGTTAAATTTAGTGCAAAAACTTGTACTTGTTTTCAACGCTAATCTAATGTGTGATAAATTAATAAAAGAATTTTGTTTCCATGTCTTTCAGGTTTACTGCAAGTGAACAGTGCGCATCGCCTACGTGTGTTAAGTAATAAACCGATAAACGTAGTGAATCTAGTGATAGTAAACATTTACGATTTGACTTATGCGGAGATAGTTGGTGGATTTGTTGGATTTGGGCGGTAATCTGTGAAGGGAGCTTGAGTCTCGTTGTGGAATCCGATGCGAAATGGAGCGCAGTGAAGTGTCGTCGCATTAGACGTGTCGCCTCGCTCAAATCACGGGCGGAAAATATTTTATCGGCCGAGGATTAGATAAAGTATCGCGAGACGACGATCTGTGTCGAATCACTCACTCAAGTCTCTCTGTGCGTGCGCGTCTCGCACAACCTGGCACAACCGTTCCCGTTGTTGTCGCGCCTAGCACATCCTGCTGAAACTAAGTAGCGTACCCAACAGGCCGAAGTAACTTTTTCCCGAGCAGCAGCAGCAGCGTGTGTGCGTGCGGTCCGCCGACTTTTGGCGGATTTCCATGCGCGGGTGAGATCCGCGTGCGGTGAGTGTGTAGTGCGCGTGTGCGTCGTGCCCGCTTTCCCGAACCGCGCAACGACAGCCGGGTGAATGCGCTTGTGCTTCGACTCGCTGTGCTTCTCGTCGTGGCTGAACAGTGCCGACGAGGAAGCCGCGACGACGACGACGGCGACGCGACGCGATAGTCACGGCGCGGAGTGCGTGAGCGCGGCGGCGGCGGCGGCCGGGCCGATGGGCGCCATCGGCGACACCGGCGACATGGAGTCGTTGCTGCGTGCGCGCGAAGAACGCATCCGCGAGCTGGAGGCGGCTCTGCGCGCGCGAAACGATGAGATCGAGATGCTCCGCTCGCATCTCGACAAATTCAAGAGTGTATTGCACGTCGGCGGTAACAAACACATTGGCGGCCAGCTGGGGCTCAACAATAATGTCACACGCACGCGTAAACAACGCACGGGCATCTCGGCGGAGCCACAGAGTGAAGCCACGCTGCTGGAGCTGTCCAAACAGACGTTTGAAGTCTTCGAAAAGGAAGAAAGGTACGCATGCATGACTTTTTTTTTCTTTTACTTTTACTTATATAGGTCATTACAGTCTGCGAGAACACTTTATTTATTTTCTTAACTGCGTTCCATTTTAAATTTAAATTAAGTAAAGCGAAATAATGAATACAAAACGGTCTTATCGGTTCGTTATCAGCCAACTCGTTAGTTACTCATTTCCATTGCCGGGACGACTACCTACTCGTTTTATGTAGTACATCGCCGCCGCTATCACAACTGCCACACACCGAAAGCACCGATAACCTCAAATAACTCACTGCTGACTTAAATTCCGACACAAAATGCCGCGCCGAAAACGCCAAAATTTCTTCATTTTTCGTCCAGGAGCTGTAAAAATATTTGCTCAGTCATAAATAATATCTACTTTAAAGGTATTTGTAGTTTATTCACATATCGTTTTGCGAGCGATAACGTATCACCGCGCTATCGCGCATACAAATATTTATAATGCATGTAAAAGAGGTGCGCGACATCAACAAATACACAAATTAATATTTTATCGTCGAATTAGTGCGGATGGCGTGGAATGCATTTGTTTACCCGCTTGTTACAAAATGATAAATGATAAATTTCGCACGAGCGCATCACTGGCGGCTCACTATGCGTTGCATATTTGCCAAAAAGTTTAAAGACCACTACACTGCATGTGCATCGATATCTATATCTTAACGGTTCGGAAAATTTCGCTCTGGCACGAATGGAGATAAAATAATAAAAGTTAAATTAATCACACACTTTTAGGAATTGTAAGTTTGTCGGTTTGCGCGCTGGACCAACAATCATCAGCTGATTAGCATAGTGGGGGCGGCTAAAAATAGCGCAGCGACGAGCCAACGAAAGTGATACGGCGGCGCGCGGCTTAAATTCACGCCGCGGTCGCACGTAATGGCCGCACGTAGGATTGTTACACGCGTTAATGAGTAATCACGTCCGCTGTGGAACGCGCACGCCAAGAATAACAATTACAACAGGCTAATAACAATTAAAGTCGAAAGCATAAACAATAATGCGTGAATTTATAGTCAATTATTGTATTTTTGGGGGGTTTTACGGTCAAAGTTCGCGAAAAAAACGCCGAAAATGATTGTTCACTCATGTCGTAAACAATTGTTGATTAATTCAATAGATATTTGACGCTGTAGATAACAATAATGCGTGTAAATTATTGCTCTAGTGATATCGAATGCGTGATAACACAGCGAGAAACAATACGCGATTATCACATGAATGAAACAACCTGAAACGAAACAAAATCAACAAAATTTTTATTGTTTTTTAACAATAATTAAGAGCGATTCTTTGCCGGTGCAGTGTTGGTACTCTTCAGTGGCGAATTTATTAATAGGCTTCAGTATGCGACGACTGAGTGACCGCGAACGGCGGCCGGGCAGAAAAAATAAAATTATAAATAAGCTGAAATATTCACGCTCAGCAATAAGTTGGTGTTTTCATGAGGGCGCCGACAACTTACCGGCGAATACTGCGGCTACTGTTGCCTCGCGAGCACGTGGCCGAAAATCAGCGAGTAAATAAACTCGTAAATCTGCAAAAATTTGACTTATTTTATTGTCGACGAAATGAAAAATCATAAATCTTTATGTGCCTCACCCACTCACGCTTCCGATTGATTATTTCACATACTTTTTATGGAAATCTCATAAAAAAAATTGATTTTTTGCATTTCCGGTGCGTTTTTTTGGGAAAATTCAATTTTTAAAATTTAAAATAATATGTTAGAAGGCAAATGAAGTAAACTTAATAATTATTATGGTGTAAGTAGAAATAAACACCTCCTGACATTCTCGTGACATTTTGTTTGCGAGTAAGTCCTATCAGAAGAATTACGCAAATCAAACCCGCGTCCAAATGAAAACAAACAAGAAATAAATCACGGCGATAACCACATCGGGGGGCTGACAACGACTTGAGCGATTATTTGCGCTGAATCTAGGACAACGATATTTATTACTCATTATCACACAGTGCGTCCGCATATCTCCATTCGCCTGGAGCGCCTTAAAACAATCTTAACATTCTATCACACTGTAGTTGATTTTAACTTCAGGTGCATTCGACGTACGCGATTGGGATTAATTGCAGTCATTAACCAAAATCAGTGCGTGCGTTCGAATTCAATCGATCATTTGTTATTTCCAGCAATTTTCGTAAAACGTAAACGATTGAATTCGCCCGATGCGCGAATAATATTTACCGCACACGCAACACCACATTCTCGGCGATTAAACGCTGATAAATTTGGTTGTTATGACCACGTCTACTCCTACTATGCAGGTACAACTCGTAGTTTCACGCTTGAGATGTGCCAGACATTATTTGCGCGCAGCGCGCGTCGTATTTACGCCTTAAACAAAAAGAACAAGTGTCACGCCGCTAGGAATCGACTACTTCGCGAACATTACGAAACGTCACGTGACGTGCACCTCTCGTCCGGAATGTGTCAATGAAGGCGCAAACACGCAGCGCGTCGAGTTGTAAATTAAATTCGTGTTTGCCGGCGCAATTAGTGAGTTAATGCGCTGCCAATTTGGGCGGTTAGCACGCGGCGGGACACATAAAGCACGAAAATGAATGGCAAGAATGCATCGCCCAGAGAAAAACCTTCTCTTGATCGATTCAAATGTATTGTCATGCAGCGGATAAGTTTTCATTCGTTGTGTGTCACGTACGTCGTCTCCAGGACGGTTAATCGCGTTCAATTAAGATTGCATCGTCCAGATTCCTCGGAGGCATCCTACTTGGACGCGCCGCGTCCTCGTCGCACGGATAGATTACGCCGGCGGCTTCTCTCCAGCCGTCAATTGCAGTTGCGCTTATAAAGGCAGCAATTTTCTAATTATATCTCGTTAAAGCAATGATGCCCGGGCTAAAAATAGCCGCGCACAGTGCACGGGCGCGCACCTTTCAACCTTACGACACGGAGCATAACAAATCCGAAGTGAATTGAGCGCGATGGATCTTGGAATGTTAGAAATATGACAGTAAAACCCTTATTTATTGGGAAATTATGACTTGCGTGGAATTTTTTATCCTGGCGATGCTAAGAGTATTTATACATTGTATTTTTATAACGGTTATTCTTCGTGTGAGGCATTTTTTCTAAAAGTGTAATTCCAGGCGGTGATTTTGACGTTTTTGCGTAAATAATCAATTAATTAGTATGTTACTCGCTTGAATTTTCAGTGGGTCCAACTACGAAATTATCGGTATGTCGAAACGCACTCGATAATCGTTTATATGCAAATGCGCCTCTCACTAACTCCAATCGAGGCTGGTCGCTGGTCGCTAAGTGCCCTGGTTGCATTTTACACGTGAGGGCTTTTTGTAATATGACTTTTTCACTGAAATTATTTTGTTATTCCCGATGTTGGTGCCAAACAAAATCCGCCCCTGTTGACTGGCGTCAGTCTCAGTGGCCGCAAACCAGCAATCAAGACTAATTGAGTCGTCCAGCCGACTTCCAAATTTCGAACGGCGATAATAATATAATCGGCCCTCTGCACTCGCAGCTCCCTGCGATTTTAATCGGCATGTCGACATGCCAATACGCCGACATTTAAGACGCGGAGACATTTCGTGGGACATGAAATAAAATTGCAGAAAAAAAAACGTAAGTATTGAATCGGCTCGCGACTTTTTCCCCGTGCGAAGGCCGCCCATTGTGTGCGATTTTTTCGAGATTTTGGTTTCGGGAGACAGAGCGCCGAGTGCAGATGCACGCCGCGGATAATTGGTAATTGGCATCGTGTATGAACACCGGCGGGTTACACGCGCTCTGTTCTTTCATTTAACATAATCACGTCGTTCATAAATCACGTGATTCACGTAAGGGGCAAACTTTTCCATACCAAATGCCCGCAGCGGATCACTTTTCTGACAGCAATAATTGCACAAATTAAATCAATTTCAATTTACAACTTGTAATTCACCATATTATTAACAATCTTTACTAAAAAATGCATAATATTTACATTTTTATGCATGAAAATCGAAATATTTACATTGAAAAATCACATTTTGTATAAAAATTGTCCCTGTTTGCGTTTACCAATGTTTTGACACATTGTATTCTCGCTCCTTTCGATATCCGAAAGTTGGCCATGCATCATGCGCATGCATGCGTGCAGGTTGTCCGCGGATAATTTATTTTCTGCGCCGTTATCGGCGATCGCACGTCGCAGCCCAACCCTGGCCTGCTGGTGTCTAAGTAAACATTTCGCGGTAATAAAAACGAATGAAATCATAAACGTTTATCAGCGGCTCGCATCTGCAGCACTCTTCGCGCGTTGATGTGAATTCAGGAGCGGGCCAAACCTTCGCAACTCTGCGAAGGACCCAAACTTATAAAACATTCATGAAACGAGCTTAAGAAGGAGTTACTGTGGATTGAATCTTGGTAAATTGCGGGTGTGGCAGTGGAAAATTCACTCTGGTGGTGTGTAATCATTGATATTCATGTAGCAAGCAGCAAACAATGTTTGTTTACGTACATTACGTCAATATCCAGTCCAAATGGTCGTTTTATAATATCTCTTTCACTAAACATATTCGATTACATGTAAAATGATATTTTTACAAGTGACAACTCACATGATACTTGAAAACTCTTTAATTTTTAAACTCTGGTGGTACAAACATAAACTTGTATCACATATTCGAGAATTTATGTTTAATTAAATGCTTTTTAATCGCTTAATATGGCGTGTATCTGAGAGAGGTTGTTGCGACCGCAAATTAAATATATTTCATGTTGTTTCAGGTAAGGCTGGAAATGGTTTCGCGCTTAAAAGGCTTAAAATACCTCGAAAGTCTTGTCGATACGGCGACGAAAGTCACCTCTCGCCGCAGAGTGTTTTACGACCGTCGTGTAATTGGCCGGGGCGATTACGCAGCCCTCCCGCCGATTACCGCCCATCGATTTTTAATAAATTACACACAGTCCTGAAGACAACTCCGGT